CTATGAAAGGGGAGGTACGGATAAAGTACCAAACCTTATTGTGTATATTTGGTTGCAACTCCGGTAAATGATGAAACATGTCTCTTATGAGAGTGATACCGTGAGTTGCTTCCTTTTTTTAAAAATTAATTTATATAGATTAACTCCCGATTTCAATTCAGGGAGACTAATCTATTCTTGCAAAAATGTTAAAACAAACTAAATATTTTACAACATCTAGGATTAAGGACAAAGTGACTAATATAGAGTACGAGAACACATGATTTCCATCACAATGCGATCTATTAAATAAGTAATAACTAGGATTAAATATCTTAATCCATCATCAAAGATTGTACAGTATGAATATCAGACCATTAAAGCGTTTTTCTACGATCCAATTCAGAATTTTGACACTAACTGTAAAGGAAAAAGGTGCAGGGCAGAACTAATCTATAGATCACATCTAAGAGATTTCTTTCGATCACAGGTCTTCTTTGAAAACGACAAAAAGTAGCCGGGCCCGAACAGGCAGTCCGAAAGAAATAAAAACTACAAACAGACAGTATAATGGTCAACATCAATCTGACATATTTTGTTCCTTCTGAACCCTGAACCTCTTGATTTGGATTTAAGTAACACAATCTTAGTTCGGAAATTTAATTCAAATGCATAGCATGAGTATATAAAAGAAAATCTTCAGATAACTGCAAACTGATTGACAAACTAAACCATCCCTCATCAGAGTGGTAGTCATGACAGGACCATGTTACTTTGATATTAAGTAAAGCTAACATCTTTCGCTAGGGTCTTTAAACGAAGTAAATGTCGGGCAGCTAAATATAAACAAGTGTAGACAACTGGACGATTTTTTAAAAATGTCGTACGAGCAATCGAAAAGGTCATCAAAATATATTTTAACTACAGGAACAACATAAACATGAAGGAGGTACCGAAGTTACTGTGCAGTGTGATAACAGTAACACGAGGTGCAGTGAGCAGCACATCACTGATGACACTCATATCGCTCGATTTTACAATCCAATAATCAAATTTTACAATCTAACTCAGCGCGCGGCTCCTCTAGCTAATACGTTACTTTTCTCCAATTGGCAGTTTGCGTGCACGTGTCTTTTCTGAGGCCCCAATTGGTTCTAAATGATCACGTGAATGCTGGTCACGCGCACATCAACTTCCAATGAGCGTACTGCCATTTTTTCTGAGGCGATGGAGGTCGTAAATCACTCAGCCCGAATAAAGATTTGGCGGAATGACAGGCTGAGCGCGGCCCAGTAATTTGTTTTTAGCAGTGTTGAACATTGAAACAATTATAAAATGTTTATTTTTATTTTATATAACGTACAATATGAATGACATTGCTCTATCCAGAGCCCTTGCGCTTGCAGTAGCGCGCGCCCGCCTCACGGCGGTTAAAAGGGCTCTAGCTATGAACCCACCCAACGATTTTGGCACCACTCTACAGTGGTGCCAAAATTACCCGCGCTTTTGTCCTCATATGCGACGTGTGTAGCCTTTCAGACATTGATTGCGTAAACGAGGTGTCGTACGTCACCTCAAGATCGGTTGACAGGGGGCTGACCATGCCCGAACCTAATTATCATTGATTGGGTCTGAGGTCACGTGATTATGAGCCTATGAGGTCACGTGACTATGACGTCACCAGACCTTGTCCTCTGTTTCCCGCTCATTGGACCAGGTGAGCTTGCATGCTTGTGAATGTAGGTGTAAGTACAGCTGTACTGTATTTTATACCTAATTAACCCCTATACACTGTCACTATGCACTATAGAAACCTGAAAAGTTGTTACTGCATACTGGAGGGAGAAGTGCCAAGACTACCTGCGCTACAAAGACGCTGTTGTCAGCACTGCGCACGCGCGCACGAACCTTCCCATCGGGGTTCGTGGATAGGTGCTTTTCTTGACTTGTGAAACAAGCGCGCCCGAAGTGGCGCGAAAGCACATGGTTAGGTGAATGAATGACATATGCTATAGTGACGTAACATATATAATGCAAAGAAATAGTAACTTGCTAGATGTGATTTAAGTGCAATTGTAAATTGCAAAATGTTAACGTCGATTATTACTAATAACATTTATCTGGTTTTAATACAATTACATTGTACATGTCACATATAAATTGGGTAGCTGAATGAAACTTGTGCCACAGAATTTTCCGTTATTAGCATTGCAGTGTCCACGCTCTGTACTGCGTTAACGACCGAAATTTTCCCAATATGCAATAATTATTTTGCTTCTAAAATTCTCTGATAATTAATAATATATCGTGACATGTAATTGTAAAATAACAAACCTCGCGCGCGCGGCGCTTACATCTGCACCTGAGAAGTTTGTGTGGCTGTCTGCGTGGCGGGCTGTGTATTGTGTATATTATAGCTGAATTTAAATTTAAATTTATTTATAAATGTATAATAATATTAAATATGTATTGATTGTTTTGTGGTTGCTCTAACCAGAGCCCTTTCGCTTGCAGTAGCGCGCGACCGCCGCAGTACGCGTATACACATGGCTATGTGAAGTTTTGTGGTAAATAAAAATTTTGTTTTACTAAAATTTTGTTTTACTTCTCTTTCATAGTTTCAACAAAATTGAGTTATAAACATACAGCTTTCAACTGACTATGTATGAATAAATGAAATACCTGACAATACGCACTATTATAACTCAAAAGCATGAATGACTCGTAATAGTATGATGAATGATTTTTAAACTTTAGCGTGAAGTTTTGTAAATGCGCGGCGCACCTTCAATTTTAAATTATTCACCTTACTGAGGCAGGAAATGATATGATATGTTTTGATTGTTATTAATAAATACTTGTAGCGCGATGCACTACTGGGCCCCGCCGCGCATCAAATAATTCTTCTTGCAACCACTGGGTAGATCGGCAAAATGCATTTATGGGCCTTGCCGAGCTGCAAATGATTGACATCGTGAATCAAATAAATTCCAAAATTTAAATTTTGTTTTCCTTCCTATTTGATTGTTTAAAGTTCAATTGGTAGCACGAATGGACCATTTCCGTTACTTATGCATTTTGCTCTGCTAATTCCAACATTTGAATTGAGTGTGCCCTGCCAATATTTGCATCATTTGATTTAATTGTATGTAAAAATATAAAAGACAATTTAGCCAATAATTGAGATCAAAATTATCACATTTACAGATTTTAGTGAAACAAATTTTTTAGTGAAACAAATTTAAAATTTTATCCTTTATTTTACAATCATAATATAATAGTATTTATAAGCCTCCGTTTTGAAAGTTTTAAATTTTAATACATTCACATTTCTATTTAAAATTCAATTTTATGTACAAGTCAATAACTGGCCGCCAAAGCCGCGCATTCTTGAAAACAGGATTAACTTGATTATAGTTATACGACTATGTAAATTTAAAACTATCCATGGTTTTTTCTTTTAAATAAATAAATTATAATTTTACCTAATTCCAAAGCCAGCTTTGAAAAATTTACTATTAAATCATAATATATCGTCAACTTTAAATATTTACAATGCAACAATTCATTAATCTGCAAACACGCGTACTCCAGCCCCTAAACGCATAAATTGTTATGCGGCGCGGCTCAAGCCGCGCACGCACGTATTATTTTATACTGTTTGCTTTCTAATAAATATCGTGCCAATGTGTATGGTGTACGTCTAAATTGTAAACGTTCATGTTTTGTGTAAAGTGAATCCAATTGGGACTAGTGACAAGGATAAGGACCCAAGTGCCTGTACGGCTTTTTCGGGCCCCTGTGGACCACTACTCTTGAAATCACTCTACAACATTGAACATCTATATCTACTACGTCATTTGGCAATTATTGTCATTAATCTAACTTTCTAATTAATTGCCGAGGGGGAAGAGTAAACGCTTCACATTAAAATTCAATGTACAAAATTCAAAACCATCAATACGGTATTAAATATTATGGACAAGTCTATAGATCTATTTCGTAGTCATATATTCACATGATTTGCTTTATATTATCTTAATACTGTAATGAAGTACAGTAGGATTTGTGTTTCGAGAAAGAAAGGTTGCGGTCAAATTATTAACAAAGGTAAACAAAAGTCCATCAGGGACTCCGTGGAGTCGAAAAAGGTACACAGCTGCTGTCTGGTGCTGCTAGGCATTTATTGATCAAGATGTTTTATTGTATTGATTTATAATGATTCTATTGTTCGTGACTAATCAAGTTCTAAGTGGAGGTATAAAGTGCTGCTCAAGATACTTCGTCATCTCATGTCCAATATAATGATTAAGATAGTATACGATGCAGTTTTAGTAGTTGACCCATACAGTTAAGTCCGTCATAACTCACAATCGTTAAGTCGTCGGTCAATTGTCAAAGTCGTTGTGTGTTTATTCGTTGAGATAGCAGTAAGATAAGATGTTACGCGCGCCTTGCCCACCTTTTTTAAAACAAATTTCGGGCACTAAAAACCAAAAACCCCCATTTATTGTAAACCCATATTCATTGGTGTTTGGGCCATTGTCATCAGTAATTCAGCGGCCATGTTGAATCTATTTACTACAAAGTTGTGTTTTTTTAGATTGGGTATACAACAAAAAAAGTTGTATCATCGCCGTTGAGATTGAGAAGTAAAGCTCGGAGAGACATATCCAAAATTGAATCTGCGACTCCACACGGTTTCTCTCTGTTTAAACCGAAAGGGCGGAGGTTATAAGTCGATTTGCCCACATTTGTTTGCACTTATCAAGGTTTTTGGGATTGATTTGAAGCACAGTAAACCCATATGATTCGTTGAAGGTTTTCACATCACTGATATTGTGCTCAGATAATAGATGTTCATTGGATTTTTTAAATTTTTCCATAATCCGTTCTAAAACAGGATTTTGCTGTATCAATTAGTGTTTTTAAAAATACGTTCCGGACAGTTGAAAACCAATATTAGAATTGCATATAAATATCGTCAATTATTTCAGGAGTACGATTATTGTGTACTCAACAAAAGTATTTATTATTGTTGTATCTATAATGTATCCTGCATTAAATTACTTACTTATTGTAAATCAGTTTCATAATGCCTTCGATACTTGTTGGATATATGATATTCAAGATGGACAGTTGGTTGAGTCAGTCTGTCAACAAATCTATTGTCATTGGAAAGAAAGAGTTCGTTGATTTCCTGCAGTTTGTTAAGAAGTTAAATAACAATGGAAACCATTCTACTAACCAATGCTCTTCCACAATCAAAGTAAGTAATCAATGAATAATAATGTACAAATGACATTTCCTTTCATTAATAAGCTTAAAGCATAATATCAACGTGCTCCATGACAATAGGGGAAGTTCTGTTGTCAAGGAGACATGCTGTCAGTGTCATAAAGATCATAGGGAGTATAGTGTATTGGCTATGCCCCGCTTACTAGTTTAGCTCTTTCTAGTCCCCTGCTACACGGCATGTAAACAGGGATTGGCTAGTTAGAGGCGGTCCGTGTAGGCCTTACACTGTGCTTTCAGCAATACTCATAGAGAGTAAAAACAATATTGCAGTTTTTCAATTGAATAAGATGTTGGTCTGGCGAAAGCAGAATTTAACGAAAGGGTCAATGTTATTGGCAAAGACTTCATAGTTTGAATAAGTAATGAATGCATACCTAGAATGACGAATCTTCAGTAGTTAAGTTCAAAAATCTGATAACAAGTTCTGTATTTAGATGCTTACCCTTCCATTTGACTGGTTGTATTTAACCCAAAGTTTTTGCAGGTTGAGGATGTTAAGTCTATTGACCATGATATTAATGACAACCCTAACTGGCAACAAAATGATTCCCAGAATTTGCCTGCAATATCAGAGTTAGAGTGCCTAAATGATGCAAAATCATCTGACCTGAATACATTGGGAAAAAGAAGCTATGCAAATAATCAGAATAATTTTTGTGACTGCACAATCATGATTAAACAGGAATCAAATGATGGCTTTGAAGCCAAGGATGAGGTTAGATATGCTATTTCTATTTAAAACCTTAAAACTGTGAAAAATGTTTGATTAAAACAGTAAACTCTAGTTCTAATCAGAATTAAAATCCTCCTCTGATTGAAAAGAGCCAAAATACTGAAGTTCAGCTTATGATTTATGTTGAATCAGATAATTCTCAGCTAAGTGTGATTAAAGGGGAAGATTACAGTTCAAATAAAACTGAAATTTATCTGATTGGAAGCAACCAAAATACCGAAATTCAGCTTCACTCAGTGGAACATCAAGAGTCAGATAAATTTCCAGAGGCTGAAGTTGGAGAAAAGTTTGCCTCGGCCTCTAATTATGTTGCTGGATCAAAGGGTCAACAACTAAGAAGCTCAAAACGGAGTTAGTCATTGTATATTGAATCATATGTAATATCATGATGGTTTTAGTTATCAATGTAAACATTATCTAGCTTTCACATTGGTATCAGATATATAAAAATAAAAAGACCATATTATTATAAGAATTAATTGAGAACAGGATTCGTAGTAAACAAGAATTTCGCCGCGGTTACACCGCGTATGATCAAATTTCCCTATAATGTAATTGTTTTACTTCTATTGCATCCCAGAGTGGTGTTTGGTGCATGTGATAATCTTTTTTTATTATATTAGGCGTGCAAAACTTGAAAATTCTGTGCGCATCTAAGGTGTCGCCATCATGTTCATCTGTGGTTTGGTTGTAGACCACTTCATATTTTGCGCGGTTTTGTTTCGTGTTAACAATGCGCACATCATGTCACGTCATATAATTATTGTATGGTATGCCAACTTTATTGACTATCATATAATATTCTGTCACATTTTAGTTATTATTTGTATCTAACATTAACTAATAGACTCCTTTTATACACATAATTATAGGGGAGTGGTCTATATTGCGAAGGAGTAGACTTTTGTCGTCAATGTAGGACCATTGGGCCACCTTATATATCCAGACCCGATTACTTATTCCCTACGATCTTTTAGCCTGGCAAGAGTAGGGGAAAAAATTAGGTCTGTAACTTGGAAAATGCATGGCAAAATACAGATATAGCAACAGAAGTTTCTTCATTCTCATAATGTGTTAACTGTTTTTGAGGGCCAGAGTATGTACTTGTGGGTTGTCAAGTTGCCAATCTAAGATAATCATCATTCCTACATATAAGTTACTCTGTTATCACTGTCGTGATAAAGTTTTTACAATCATGAGGGCATGTCATATTATCATGTAATGTAATTACTGTAGCATATAAACCTTTAAAAATTTTATCTTTTGCAGGTAGAGTAGAGTCTGACAAAGATAATCCCTACATGAAAATTATTGATAGTACTGAGAAAGAGGATGAAGTAATAGAAGTAATTCATGTTGAGGATTCATTGCTGCCACCCAGAAAAGCAATAAATACTAAGGATAAGAGCCTGAGTATTTCTTCTGACTCCACAAGAATATGCAGGAATGAGCAAGTCCTGAGGCGTAATCCTCCAAGACGAGCAAGACCTACTTTTTCCTCCACTGATGCTGATCTTGGTAACTACATATTTGAACTTGTTTGCACACATTTTTACAATAATTTATTCATAATAATAATTAATTATTCATAATTAGTCTAGTCATTCCTAGCAATCAGTCCTAATAATCATATTTTCAGGTGATCATGATATCGGTGGAAATAATGACATTAACAAACATAGATTAAAGCCTTCACTGAATGACGCTGATGACGATAACCTGGGCAGTGGCAGTAGCTTTAATAAAAGTTAGTTTAATTTAATTTGCTTCCTATTAAATTCAATACATATGAGCTCAGGAGCTAAATTTTAATCACGTGAAAGAGTTTGCGATTATTGTAGTAGATCAATAAAATAGATGATATCCAATCTTTCCTCTTAGAGTTGGAGATAGAAAAAGAAAAGTGGAGGCAAGAAGAACGTGAAAAGCGCAAGATAGAGAACAGAATTAGTAAAAACAAGAAAAAGCAAGCAAAATTTAGAAAGCAGAATCAGGGTGAGTCTGGTATGGCACTAAATTGGTTTAATTGTTTTTATTTTGATGAGATCATATGGGGTAAGCGTTGCCGATATTCTTAAGTGAATTGAGATCTACAAATTGCATTATATGACCTCACCAAGGTACAAATAGTCAGCACCCTACTACCTATCTTTAAGCACTCATTCCTACACTATACCAATAGTTAGCACTCTACATTCTACTTGAACCTATCGTATTTATAAAAATCATTATTTTAATCGATTATTTTGATACAGATAGAAAAGATCCAGGAGAAGAACAAGGGGATAATGACAAGCACCATTGTTTTGCCCAGGGTTGCAGGCGCAAATTTGGAACAAATTCTGCTCTAGATAATCATATTCTTGGTCGCCACCTTAAACAATGGCAGAACAAATGTATTGGTTGTTATATGGATTTCAGCTGCATGAATAGTAGAGGGCGATACCGGCACCGCTGTTTATGCATTAAATCCAAATATCCCTATATTGATATGCTGAGAAAAATAATTTAATCGTCCAATTTATTACGTCCTAACTTTCAGCAGTGTGTTTGCACAGTTTTTAAACACATTTCATTGAATTTTAATTTGTAACTATAGAACACTTTTATATTGAATTCAATATCCACGAATTTTCGTAGAACGTTTTTTAAGTTCAGACTTTAGGGTTCCTTTATTCAACAAATTTTTTTTATAAGTTCAGACTTTAGGGTTCCTTAAGTCAACAAATTTAAAAAAATAAATTTCATTGAATGTTTATTTTTAACTATAGAACACTTTTATATTGAATTTAATATCCACGAATTTTCGTTGAACGTTTTATAAGTTTAGACTTTAGAACACCATTATTTTTACATTTTATACTATAACTGCTATAATATATAGCAGCACTGCTACTACCTGATACAAAGTAATCCAATGGAACACAATGTTAATACCGAAAATGATAAAAATGATAATGTGTAAGATGGTTTGTTCTGCAAACGGCAATTGTTGATCGCAATGGATGTCAATTTTTTAAGGCACAAAAGGGTTAACATACAAATGAGCAACGGATGGGACATTACGAGATCGGTGGTATTGCTTACTTGTAACATTTTAAACCAGAAAAATACTTTGTATCAGGTTAAATCAGATCATGGGAGATGTTTCCAATTTTGTTTGCTTGATTTTTTACTGTACAAATAATTGATCATCAGCGGGACAGTAATTTTACAATTTCAACATTTGAACATTTAATTAGCATTAATAATTCAATGTAACTTATAATTATAATAGTTTTACTTAGTATTGTATAACTTTTATGATTGATAAGGCATCTAAAGTTAGAATTTATAATAGTGATATAACACCAAACATTAATAACTTGCAGCGATACTAAAGCTTCACATTTAAATTGAATAGCTGCATTGAGTGGGTGGTTTTATATAATGACAAGCGACAAATCAGAGATTCTCAAGCTTCAAAAAAAGAATGAATCGTTGAATAAGGACTTTTGTAAACTGAGGTATGTTTGTAGTCAATTTCTTTTTAAGATAAAAAAGGTTCTGAGGTCATTAATCAGTTACAATGTGATGACTTAATATATAGTATAAACTCTTGCTTGTGCCTGATTTTCTATGAATTCTTATTTACAAGAGGATAAATTAAAACCGTAATGTTTGCATGAAAAATTGAGACCGTAGCAGGAATATTTACCCTAGAGTTACAATTCAAGTGACCTACCGATCGCGATCCTGGTTGGGAGGTTCTGGAACATGATAATTATTCTTGGTTTTGATCGGTTAATTCTGGAAGCTGATTGGTTAATAGTTGTCATTTGTAAAAGATGGTAATCAGTTTTCTGATTTTTTATCTACTTATGAACTGTTTATCTTTATCGTGTACTATACCTAATAATATTATGTCATTAACAGGAGTCTATACGACCAGTTATTGTCAGAAGCTCCAAAAGAAAGTAATGACCCAAGGAGACTGATGTTATTAAAAAGTCAAGTTTTCATGTTGGAACGACAGTGTCACAACATGACTTTGCAACTGAACCAAAGGTATTTTAAGCTACATACCATGCTGAAGATCATTAAACCACCTGGTGAAAACGAAACAAAATATAATATGTTTTCAAAATAGAAGCAAAGTTATTTTTAACAAATATTTTGCAGGCAGGTTTCTTTGCAGCATGCTAGCACAACTCTGGAAAACATAACTTCAGAAATGGAGAATTGGCTGGTAGATTCTAGCAACAGTACTGTGATTATAAAGAGGACGGAGCTGGAGAATGTTATAAAGACAGTTAGAGGAGTAGGAAAAAAGTTCAATAAACCCAGTGAAAGTTTTGAGGTATTCACAAATCAGCCCTGCCTATTGGCTTGTAACTAGATGGGAGCTGGGAGATATAAAAAGGGAGCTGCTAATTTACTAATTGTAATAATAAACATTGCATATAATATAATGTTTTTTACAGTAATCGACCGGGATTCCCGGCGCCGTGAAATCCCGGCGCCGGGGGAGCTATTTCTTCCCGGCCTAAAACTTTCATATAAATCTTAAAATGGATTTTCAATTTTGAAAGGATGATGTCCAGAGTGCCAACTTTTATTTACTGTTTCAGCTGAACAAAATTATTTTACCAAAATATATATGAAATCTAATTACCTTCTAAACTGTTCAATTGATACGAACATTATATTGTCATGTAAAAATAAGTTCAGATCCTAAGTCCTGAAAAGTTCTAACTTGGCCGTGGATTTATTAAATTCACGGCCCCGGCCAAATTCCAGAACGGCCAATTCCCGGCCCCGGCAAAATTTGGACATTGCCGGCCCCGGCCCCGGCCCAATCCTATCCCCGGTCGTTTACTGGTTTTTTAACTTTCGTGCTAAGTTTTAGTACTACATAATATGACGTGTACAATTGTATTTTACTATTTGAACCTAAATCCTTTCAAATGGTTTCAGAGTGTTTTGGAAAAGCAAGCTATTGAAAACAAGTTTAGTGAAACAGACTCGTCTACACAGGGCATATTCAACTACAACAAAAAACAGATAGTAAGCTTTTATCTCTATTAATAGTCGTTAATTACGGATTGTGTTAATTATTAGTTTTGTCTTATGCGATATCTCTGCCGCACAGGAGTGGGGTAAACATATGTAGATTTGTGTAAATTATTTTCATGAAATGCAATTTTCTTTTTCATATCTTGTAATTGTATTTATTTCAGAGTAATCTCGAGCACAAATTATCAGAATTGATGGTTTCAATGGAAAAATTCAAGTGCACTGTATCAGAAAAACACCATCACAAATCAAAATCAGCTTCTGAAGAAGTTTCAAATTCTATGAGGGACTTCACGACAACAAATCAGGATTTTGAGCAGAACTATTCTGAACTTGCTAGTCGGTTGAACGACTGTTGTTATGACATAACTTTATTGTCACTTCTTCAGCCCCAACTATTGAACAAAAAAAGAAAACTGTCTGAGGAAGTAACTTTGGAATCCGTTCTTGAGTTTTTAAGGAAACACACCAGGAAAAAGGAAGTTTTCGAAGTTATTCCTATAATGTGGCAAATAGCGAACCATCGTGCAAAGCATTTTAAAATGAAAAACATTATGATGGATAACGAACTTCAAAAATGCCATCAGAGACTTGAGTTGCACACCAAGTTTGTGTTAGATATTCTCAGTGGGTTGACCAATATGTTTCTTGAGTTTGAAACCAATACTTTAGTTCCCCAGTTATCAGATCCCCTCTCCAGTGTTATTGAAGCTTACAATCTGCTACAAAACGAACAGACGAATGAGAATTTTACTGCTTTCTTCAAAAAGTTTGACTCACTTTTACCTAATCTGGAGAGGAGTGTTAAGTTGCTGAAAAATACGATGAAAATGGAAAATTCATCGGAGCTCCAGAAAATGTTTAGAAATGAGCTGTTTTGCTTCACCAAAGATTGCTTAGCTGAAAGAAAAAGAAATGAAAATGATATTATTGATCAAGAGAAAGAAAACAGAGACAGAAAAGAAAAACTTGCTGCAATTTTGATTGGAAAAGATTCTAAAAGTTGAAACTTATTCATAACCATTAGAAGGCAAATATTATGCTTACTTGTTAAAAGTATTGGCTATTGGTACCTGTACAGTGTACATTATATCTATTGTTTAACATCTCATAATTTATCATTATTATATCGCATTTAATTTGTTTCACTCAAGGTTTTAAAATTGACAGTAGCCGTATATTATTTGTATTTTAATTGTCGTGTAAACATGCGGTTGCCAAACGTAATTATCTACCTTAATTTATTAAATTTTACATTTAAATTTTAAACACTGTTTAATTAAAAACATAAGATTTGATCTCAAATGCGACAGGCAAGGTCTAAAGAAGCAATATGGTGGTTACACTTGCCTCCTTACTGGAGACAATGAATAAGCTACAAGATGTATTTACAACAGTTGGTGTTTCGTCTGATTCCATGAACCTGCCCCAGATCGTGGTGCTAGGCTCCCAGTCCTCTGGTAAATCATCTGTCCTAGAGAACATAGTGGGCCGGGACTTTCTACCACGTGGAATGGGAATTGTAACACGTCGTCCCTTGATTCTGCAGCTTATAAACACAGATGAACAGTGTAGTGCTAATGGAGTCGAGCACATGATCTGGGCAGAGTTCCTCCACAGAAAGGGGGAGATTTTTACAGATTTCGAGCTGGTAAAACAGGAGATAAGTATTGATACAGAGAGAGTTGCTGGAAACACTAAAGGTATCTCAGCTGTCCCCATTCACCTCAAGATTTTCAGTAATTCAACGCCGAATCTAACTTTAGTTGACTTGCCTGGACTCACTAAAGTGCCTGTTGGAGGTCAGCCGGAGGATATTGAAACGCAAATTGAGCAACTTATCCTGAGCTATGTTGAGAATGAAAATGCAATAATCCTAGCCATCACTCCTGGTAATCAAGACATCGCTACATCTGATGCTATCAAAGTTGCAAGGAAAGCAGATCCATTTGGTGAGAGAACGATTGCCGTTATTACGAAGGTTGACCTGATGGAGCGAGGAGTTGAGGGAATGAACCTGTTAAAAGGAATAACCCTACCCGTCAAGCTTGGACTTGTTGGTATAGTCAACAGATCCCAATTAGACATTGAGGCAGGCAAAACAATAAAACAAGCCTTGGAGGAAGAGGAAAAGTTCTTTTCCAAAAGCCACCCTAACCTGGCAATAAAGATGGGAACATCGTATCTGTCTGAAAGACTTAGTATCATCTTGATGGGCCATGTTAAGAAATGTTTGCCCGGTCTCCGAAGTAGAGTGTCCCATATGAGAGGAGTTCAGGAGGCTGTAATAAATGATTTAGGTAAAACCATTTCAAAGAAAGGACCTGCCATTCTAGAGCTTATCAACACATTTTGCGAGGAATTCAGATGTGTTATCAACGGTAACTCAACCAATATCCAAACAACAGAAATATCAGGAGGAGCAAAGCTGTTTTACATATTCCAAGACACGTTTGGTAAAGCCTTGGAGGAGTTTGATCCCATGACTGGACTGAATCTGTCAGATGTTAGACATGCTGTAAGAAACTCTATGGGAACTAGACCGTCACTTTTTGTACCAGAAATCGCGTTTGAAATGCTGGTTAAACGTCAGATAGGACTGTTGAGAGACCTATGTTTGAGAGTTGTGGACTTGTCATACGATGAACTAGCTAACACCATCTCGGTCACCTGCACAAGACACTTTGAGAGGTTTGATAACCTGAAGTCAGCTGCTATGACGTCAGGAATCAACCTTCTGAGCGAGCGTTTACCGCCAACACGTCACATGGTAGAGAATCTACTGAACATCGAGCAAGGATACATCAACACCAACCACCCTGACTTCATGTACCGGTACAGGGCCATGTCCGAGAGATTAAAGACCAACTCAGAACCCTCTCAAGATGCAGCCTCCGTTTCCAGTATGATATCCAGAATTAGCATTTGTGATCAAAGAGGTTAGTGCAAACTTCCTCCAGTTCCCAATGTTAAACGTAGTTATTTCATCAGCAGAAAATTTAAGTTTCGAGATCGATTTTTTTGAATTTACTATAATCTATTTTTATTAATTTATTAAATCACAGCCTTCGATAAAAGCTGTATTAACCATGTTTCAAAAATTTGTAAAATATTGCCAGTATTTCATTGAACTTGAGTACACATGTTAGTGTTACAAAATATCTTTATTTCATTTGGCTCTAGTACTAAAACTGGTTTTGTTTCAGAACGCACGGACTCCGGAAAGGAGATAGACCACAAACTGACAAAACGAGAGCGAGAGGAGGTCCAGATGATAGAGCTACTGATCGTCCAATACTTTACAATTATCCGCAAGCAGCTCCAGGACACAATTCCCAAGACGATAATGTTCTTTATGGTAGCCTACCTGACTAAATCTCTCTCCAGTACCCTGATTAGCGAGCTCTACTGCGAGGAGAAGTTTGACGAGCTGCTCCAAGAGAGCCAAGCAGTTACTAAGAAACGAGAACGCGCAACCAAGATGCTGACTGCACTGAATGAGGCACAGAGGGTGCTGAGTAACTTGAGAGATATCCCCGGTCTATGAAGATGGAATGTGAGAGCGTCTGACAGCTTGTGGTTTGAATATTCTCCGACACCTGGAACAAAGGTTAACTGAGTAAAGTAATCTCGTGTTTTGCGCAGTTATGAAATCTGATGCTAGGCTTAACTTCATGCCAGACAAATATTTCTATTGTTTTGTCCAAGGCACAAGTTAAATTCTGTGGACACCTGAGCGATATGTTTACCGATCCCATTTAACTGTAATGAAACTTCCCAAACTTTTCTGCAGGGTTAAGGTTTAATGATGTACCTGTCTGCGAACTGCAATAATTTCATTGTTGGTTTGTTTTGCCTATACTTTGTTTTGTATTCATGCCATATTTAACATTGTTTTTAGTTTATTTTTCTTAAATAGATAAACTTTACAATTTACGTGCAATTACAGACATGTGCTGTAATATGTTGACCCTATGTTGAGCCTTTGCGAAGCTTAACGTGAGATTGTTAGGCAACAATTCTTGAAGCCTAAAGGTCAACTTTGATTTCGAATGTGTACTCACATTTTTGAGTAATGGCTCATTACATGAGTATTAATGTTTTGCATGAACCTTTTACTTACAATATTTTGGTGATCTGAATGTTCGAGCTTTTTCTATTTTTGTTTTAACGGTCGCATGATTATTGTTTCCCGTGATATATCGCCAATGAATAATTTTCCTGATTGTTGTAGTTTAAAAAGAACAACGTTTTAACGTTTATCAAACATTCCATTTATTTGATGCGATATTTAAACGACCTGATCATAACTTAAGCCGAGCAAAATATATTTGACAAACTCTGTGAGAAATTTATAATTGTTAAATCACTCTCACTAAAAGAGCTGTGTTTCTAACGAAGTTTTTAAGCAAATTTTATGTTGTATATTTTTGAATTGTTTTATTCTGTTCTGTGTTAACAACACTCATTATTCCAAAAAAACCGCCTCGTTATTTTTTTTTCATCAGCAAAAGTTGCCGACCAATCTGTACAAGTTTAAAATTTTTACCTCGATATGCATAGCTGTCTTTGGTGAAATTACTGTCAACGATTTTGTACAGTCTGAGATTGATATTTTTGCTCAAATTTTCATACAATACTATCATCTATACAATTTAAGGGGAACACTGTTTTCAATGTAATGTAATCCTAATTTAAATGTTTTGTCTAGCCTCACTTATCTAGCCCCTCTTTCTAGCCCCAGGCAATCATGTCCACCATCTAATGGTTTGCTGGGCAGGCTCAGTTGTACGCACGCCTCCGCTGGTCTAAAGACTCGCGCGCATAGCGCCACAGGGAAGACAGGATTGCAGGCATGAACCCCATGAATAAGTATGAGAAGTTGGAGAAGATTGGCGAAGGAACGTATGGTACAGTTTTCAAAGCAAAGAATAGGCAGACCCAGGAAATAGTAGCATTGAAGAGATACAGACTTGACACTGAAGACGAGGGTAAGTTCGAGAACCTTCGTTTCATAGTGGCCACAATTCTAACCTTCCTTCATTTACAAGTTATCATGTAATCACATTCGTAGAATTAGTTACAGGACCCAGCTTGACAGTATATTTCAACAGTTCTGATTATAAACGCTAAATATAAACACCCCCCCCCCCCCCCCGCCGCTGACTTAGATCCTTACTTAGGTATACCAAGTTCAGCACTAAGGGAGATATGTTTGATGAAGGAGCTGAAACATCAGAACATTGTTCGGCTACAAGATGTTCTGCACAGTGACCGGCGTCTTACTCTGGTGAGAAAACTAGAAAAGAAACTTCCGTGTTTCTGTAACTTTGTAGCCCAAACATGAAGGAAAAAACTTTAAAATCTTAATTCGCAATCATTCACGACTTCTGAAGTGAGTGGAGCTAGTTTTCTACTGGGTGTATGAGAGAAATTGACATATATATTCTGACGTAAAACAAGCAACATTTTGTTAGTGTGTTACGTTAATAAGTAAAGTTGGCACGTTAAGAAGAATGTTGTTATATTATTATACTAAAGGAATGTAAAACTAAATATATTAAATACTAAAGAAATGTAAAACTGCCCAGGTGTTTGAGTATGTTGATCAGGACCTGTTCCACTATCTAGAGTCCCATAAGAACACTGGCGTGAACCCTACTAAAGTAAAGAAGTTCATGTACCAGGTAACTAGAATTAACATTCAGTTCAATCAATGATATTTGTCTGTCATTAATTTTCAACTAACAATCAAGAATTTATTTACATTTGAGTAATATATGTATCTCAACTTCTATTGAAACTCTTTGTCACCAATACTCAAACTCTCCTGAGCAGTTACTGAAAGGACTTGCCTTCTGTCACGCTCAGAACATATTACACCGGGACCTAAAACCTCAAAACCTTCTGCTGAACGCCAACGGAGAACTCAAGCTTGCTGACTTCGGACTTGCACGAGTATTCAACGTGCCTCTGCAAAGTTATTCCAATGAGGTTTTAATCTTTTCAAACTAAACAATAAACATAACATAAGTATTGAAGCCATGAAAGTGAAACAATTATCGCTTAGTAGTGAAACAGAAGAAATTAACTTTACAATGATCAGGTTGTAACGTTGTGGTACAGACCGCCTGATGTCTTGCTGGGTAACAAGCGTTACACCACCAGTATTGACATCTGGAGTGCTGGCTGTATCTTCGCGGAGATGGCAACTTGTGAACCTTTACTTCCAGGTTTATTTAATCAACTTTTAACTATTATATTTAAACTTATGAATATTCCAAAACTATGAGTACATTATTGGAATCATGACATGTTCGCTTAAGTTTAAAACAAAAGGGTATGTAAATTGTTACACTCTGATACTAATAATATACTCTGTACTTATAGTAATAATACTTATTATCATCCACTACATACTATCTATACAATGTATAGCACTGAGTTGTTACTCAGTGCTATACAGCAGTATCTAGCATACATTGTATACATTGTATACATTATATACATTGTATACATTGTATACATTATATACATTGTATACATTATATACATTGTATACATTGCATTGTGCTCTAACTGTCGTGTCTTGCTAGGTATTGATGAAGAGGACCAGCTCTTGAAGATATTTCAGCTGGTCGGAAGTCCTACTGAGGAGAGCTGGCCGGGTATTACTCGGCTACCTAGATATAGTAATATAGCGGGATTCCCTCCTAAACCTATAGCTAATGTTGTTCCGGCTCTCAACGCTGCTGTTAGTTAAAAATGATATGATAAATTCTCATTTGTTTAAGAAGTAACCTGGCAACTTTATTTGAGGTTGATTTAAAATCTCTTTGGCAATCAAATTAAAGCGTATTGGTTCATGAATATACTTTTTTCTTTAATTACTAATCCTTTTTCTCATTTTGTTATTCGCCAGGGTCTGGATTTGCTACTGAAACACCTCAAGTCTAACCCTTCACACCGTTTCTCTGCAGAGGAGGCTCTCCTTCACGAATACTTCACAAGCTCATAGAACGTTCTGGAACGTTCTAGAATGTTCTCGAGTGTTCTTGAGAAACCTCTTTTGTGCTACCTGTGCTGTCTTAGTACCAAAAAATACTTTTCAAATACTACCATTATATTGTTTGTGCTGACACCGGCCATAAAAATCCAGCTTCATATTGTGCTGTATTATCGATATTACTTGGTATTCACTATTCTTGTTTTTATTTGGCTGCTTGAACATAATTGGAAACTATAATTGGAAACTTTTTTTCTTAAAGGGAGCTATAATTAACAGTACCTATTTGTTTGTGCATTATAATATAATGTGTGTGTTTTGCCAGACCATTGCGGTGTTGAATTAAAGCTTTATTTTCCTTTATATAATGAATGATAAGCAGAGATTTTTCTGTGTCCTTGTCGTTTCCTTCTAGGAAACTTTTGCCTAACATCAAACTATTGTGTATATATTATACATGGCGTTCTTATTGCTCAATTAAATGTACTCAGATTAACCGGTAGTTTTACTGACTCTATGATATTGGGGAGATTCTTGAAATACCTCAAATATCAGCTCCTCTTGAAATATTTAGTGTATTCTCCGTTAATTAACCGTTAAGGCCACAGGGGGGGGGGGGGTCCGAGGTCGATTTTGAGATTTTGAGATATGTTGTAGAGCTGGATCTAAATTTTCAAATGCTTTTGTCCTTACCGAAAACAAAGTTTCCTATTTGAAGATATCGCGCGTTGAATTTTGAGGTTTACCTGTAATTCTATTGTAAATGAAAACTTTAAATGAAATCGTGTTCAAAATCTATCTTCTTTTTCAGTTTACGACTTAGAACCTTGTAACTTGGCAACAATGTTCTTCAAGGTATTTTGAGTTTTTGTTATGTAACGATTTATGATATCTTGCTCCAAAGCTGAGATATGAGGTTAACCATGAGTGCGGGTTACAAAATTTAAAATGGTTAACCTCATAAAAAGAGTTAGGAGCAAAATTACAACAATCGTTACATAACAAACTTTTAAATTTATGTCAGGAACATAAGTTCCAAATTTGAGGTGAAATGGATAAAAACTCTAGGAGAAGATAGATTTTGAAGTCAAAAATTCGAGGTTTTCAGGAGAGGCAAAAAACTGTTTTTTATGTTATGTGATTTTTGAGTATTTTGCCTTTATTTGTATATTTTTCAAAGTTTAACTGCTGAAATAACATAAAAACAATAAAAACAAAGCTTATCGCAGTTTTCAGTTGTAATGGCATCAATATTTCTGCCCTCCATTATCGATTTATCAAAAAAATGAGGTTAAATGAGAATTGGTTAACCTCATTTATAAGAAAAATTAAAATAGCTACAGACAAATGAGTGGTGGCAAAGTATCCACCACAAAAATATATATCGATTCAAAGCATAATATTTTTTTGCATTTTTTGAAGCCTCGACCCCCCCCCCCCCCCCCCCTGTGGCCTTAATTACATTATTGTTATACAATTTGACACATTAGATTATTATGTCCTTATGGATCATAATTGCTTTATTGGCACATTATGTATTAAACATTTATTAGCCGCAAACAAAAGCAAAACAAAACATAATGAAGCAATGTAAATAATGACGATTCTATTTATAGCTAGCTGCTCCAAGTAACGTGAATATGGACATCTCAGCGCTTGCCCAGATGCTCAATCCGAAGGAGGATGATAGCGACAGCGAAACCGACTGCGTAAAACACACCCCCGCTGATATCGGGAAAAGCAAACCTAAATCTAAGATTCCTGACGTACGTGTTTATTGTTTATAATATACATACAATATGTCAACTATCTTAAGGTGTAAGGTATGGTTGGAATCCATGATTCTTCTTTATTTACGTATTTGGTACAACTTATTACAATTTGATAAGTACTATTTACCCTTCCATTTGTACGATATCAACTCAATTAGGGTACTTTGCTGAAAAAGGTATATAAGATAATATTTTTATAGAAAGCATTTCCTCACGACTTATTTAAACACAGTTATTGAAGGTTGGTTACAACTTACAGCTAATAACACTGTGTGTAACCCCAGGTAACTCCCACCACGGTGAAGAAAGCGCAGACTGGTAAAGATATTTGGGATCCTGAGTTTGTACCTGAGGGTGTGGCTACTGAGCACCAGGAAACAAGACCTCAGCCTCATTACGATATGTGCTTCAAACAAAATGTAGGAACTGAGGACATGTTCCTAGGTGAGTCGCCCTTTTGAATTGCACCTCATTTCACCGATCGGTTTGAATATTTTTTATCCAGTTCCTCCCCCTGAATTCCCTCTGCCAGCTCAAACCTCTAGCACTGCATAAATATATGGAAACATCGTGACAGTGCTTGTAGCTTATAATTATGCCCAATCTAGACTCAAAATTAAAATGATCGCATATAATTTAACAATTTACATCTCATTATTTATTAATTTCGCTGCAATTCAGGAATGAGTGGAAAGAATCCAGGAAGTAACGACGAACTAGTGATCACCATTTCCCTTCCTAACGCCAAATCATCAGAAATCGACTTAAATGTAACTGACGATAGGGTGGATTGTTGGACTTCTAAGCACGCACTTCGGTTACACTTGCCCAAACCTGTAGTCAGTAATCAGGGGTCAGCTCAATGGATAACTGACAAAGAGCAACTTAAGCTTACTCTGCCACTCAAAAAGGAGTACGATTTCTTACCATGATTCACACCATCACTCAGTCATTAGTCAGATAAATCCATGTCTAGATGCTAGCCGGCTAGCGTATCATGTAGTTCATCAGTTTATACTCTCCTGTAACCAGATTCAGATGTAAATAGGATGTTTATAAGGAGCTGTTATTTATAGTGTAATTTATTTTCCAAAGAGTGTCATGGTTTCACTGCTACAGCTTCAGGATCAGAGCTTGTAAATATCGCATAAACGTAGCACGCAAAAACATTATTATAACAAAAGTACATTTATTTCGCGCTAGTTTTGCCGCGCGTGTTAAGCGCGCTTAGTTATCAGTCAAAATAACGGCTATTTTTACCCAAAATTAAACTTTCAGCTATCACATATTAATTCCGATTGAGACTGTTATTAAGGTTTATGATGTTATATCTCACTTCTCTAGAAATGTCCACATGGGTGGAAAAACTAAGGCAGTTTAATGCGGTTAAAGCTCAAGAAAGCAATGGCCCGAAAGACTCCACAGAGGAACGCAAAATGTTTGAAGAGTAAGTGCTACCATTGTTAAATACCCACATCAGAGTTCAAAGCTTTACTTTTAACTTTCCGAAAATACAGTTAATTGAACATTCTTGTTTATTGTTGTCATCAGCTCTAACACGTTTTTATCTATCAGATACTATCTAGAATGGGGCGGAGGTAGAAAAAGGGACCCTTCCTACGCGTCAATTCCCTGCTTCTATACCCCACTTCCTCCGGAACAGGATCTAATTCTTCAGAAACTACGAGAAGAATCTCGAGCAGGTGCGTTTAGTGTTACATTTACCCAGTCATGATGATGTGATTTACCTGATAAAATGGTTTACCAGATTTTACCGTCCTCTACGAACAAACTCAGAAAGTGACATCACGCTTTTTGTTAAAAATCATGTTTTTGATGCATTCCACTTTAGCATTCCTCACAAGAAAAAGTGCCGCCTTGCTGGAAAATGAGGAATTGCAGAAACTTTTAGATCTGTTGGAAGATAACTTATCTCCGCCTGTTGAGGACAGAATGATCAACTTTGAAGACTATCTGAAGGTGAGATTTTATGATAAATTATGTTAAGGAGGATAAAAACCTTCAAGATCTGACTGCATCTGAATTTTCATATCGGCAGCAATTATGGAATCTTGTTGCCTTCTTAGAAGGCATGACCAGGACTCATCCGTTTTATACAGCCTTTTTGTAACCTGACTTTAAATCTCAAAGCTACAAATCTTCAGGTTAAAGACCAAGTCAGTCCTAAGTGTAAAGACTACTTCTCCGCGATTACCTTTAGTAAACTCTACAAAAAGGATCCTCACGGCAGAATCGCAATAGTCGAGTTTTTCCACTATGTGATGAGAAAAGTATGGCTGCAGCAGTCTCGAATAGGATTGTCTCTCTACGACATTAGTGGTCTCGGTTACCTTAGAGAGGCTGATTTAGAAAACTATATTTTGGAGATGATACCGACTCTGCCTCAACTGGATGGACTAGAGAAGAGTTTTTACAGTTTCTACGTTTGTACTGCCGTAAGGAAGTTCTTCTTCTTCTTGGATCCGCTGAGAACAGGGAAAATTAAAATTCAGGTAACCTATTTTCTCTTTATGATCAATGAGAGTATAGTTTGCTTTCTATTCCCACGAAACTACGAGTGTAAAATACTAAACGACAGAAAGTATATTAAATATTCACCATTTATTTATATGACCGTTTTCTTCAGGATATTTTGTGCTGTAGTTTTCTAGATGAGCTGTTAGAGCTACGTGAGGAAGGTCTGCCTCGAGAGCGGCAGGACTCCAACTGGTTCAGTGCAGCAAGTGCACTGCGCGTCTACGGGCAGTATCTTACTCTAGATACTGATCACAACGGCATGTTAAGTAAAAGTGAACTGGGAAGATATGGAAGTGGGACCTTGACATCGGTCTTCTTAGATAGGTTTGGTTTTCTACGACAGGAAAAATGCAAATTTGTTTTCGAGTAGTAATTTCTTGCCTTGCTTGACTTTGTGTATGTAATAATTGTGCCCGTAATAAATTGTAACCCTTTCTATATCCAATGATTTACTAACTGGTCACTATTTTCTCACATCTTTCTCTCGCTAGAGTTTTCCAGGAGTGTCTAACATATGAAGGTGAGATGGACTATAAAACCTATCTCGATTTCATACTCGCACTCGAGAACAGAAAGACGCCTCAAGCTCTGCAGTACCTCTTTAAGATCCTGGACTGTGAAGGAGAAGCTGCTCTCACTGTTTTCTCACTCAACTACTTTTTTAGAGCAGTACAGGAGGAGCTTAGTAGACACGGCCAGGATGTGGTGAGTATTAAATGTTAAAATAGTATGTTCGTATTTAGCTTCAATCCAAGTCTGGAACTGAGGATGTGGAGGCGAGTATGTTATCTCACTTTTTAATTAACTTGATGCTTCATTTTATCCAATCCCTAAATGAGTGACCGATCCATTGGATAGAATTGTTACTTCAAAATAATACACAGTAAACATTTCCTGGCACCATTCCAAATAACCAGATAGAAACTGTAAGGTCTCATTAATTTGAATTTAAACAGTCGATGACAGCACGCAATATGACCCACTAATTTTACTAACTGCTCATTCCTGTCAGGTTGATATGAAGGACCTGATAAACGAAGTATTTGACATGGTGAAGCCGGACCGGTCCGGCCGAATTACCCTTAAAGATCTTATTAAATGCTGTCAAGGAGATATCATTGTTAGTATTCTCATAGATGTTAACGGTTTCTGGACTTATGAAAACCGGGAAGCTCTAGTTGCTGCAGAGAATATAAACAACCGATAGTTGTTCAAGTCAGATCAGAATATAAGTGAAGTTGGGTAAAGTTCATTATTGATCTTATTTTGAGGTTGATATTTTGGTTTAGTTCACTACATTCCTGATGAACAAAACATTTCTTGTACTTATAATGTGATGGAGCTTTTAACAAATTACCTTGAGTGATTTTTTGTGTTACTTTGGTCGAATGTATGGTCAATGGTGAGCCGAAATGGTTTATATACGGGGCAAGATTGTTCAGATTATCTTGATTGGATGGTACAATAATTATAGAACTGACAAACAACTTTTTACAATGTACAATTATATAACATATCGTTTGTAAATATTATATTTTAATGTATACTATAACAAATACATAATTTACATATTTAATAAATATATTATGTTTAAAAATGTGATCGCTCACACTCATGGGTATTATTGTTGACGTTGTTTAGAAATTTTGCTATTGACTGGCTGAGCCAGTAGAGTTTGGAAATTAATTTAAAGGATTATTTATAAATTCCGCTTGGTTAAATTTCATTTCCCTTGGACCACTTGACATACGAAACCTCATAATATATATAACGAAACAGATTTTTTCAGAAGTTCTATTAGCTATGTATTATGTAATTATTTGTTTTTATATTATACCTCAGTAAATTGTGTCTATTAACACTTTATGATATCGCCGAATTTAATATGTTTTAATCCCCTTGTTTTATTCTTGAACGACTGATTGTAAAGTTAACTTGTTAAACTGCGAAAGTGTGTCCGGCGAATTAGTGAAAAGTGAAAGCAAGACTGGTGAAACGTGAGCACGTGTTTCTTAAAGGAACTATCTGCAGAGCTGCAGATAAACACTGAAGAAATTGAGAGGTAAGAGCAAGAGGCACTCTATGTGTAACCTTATTGTGCTTTCTGTTTGTAAGCGCTCGTGAGTGTGTGATTTTTATCATCTCCTTGATTAACTGAAACCAACTGATCTGGTGAGAGTGATGTGATTGAGTGATTTCACTAAATTGTTACTTTTACAGTTTTTCCAATTATTTGTAAGCATATTACTGAATATTACCTCTGATTCCAACTTTGAGATTTGATTTAATCTTATCACACTTTGATCTTTTTACTGATTCTAATCACTTTTCTCTCCTCTCTTAAAAGCACTATGTCCCTGCCACGTCGTAGTGAAGGAAGCTCTGTCTCCAGCAACAAAAGTCCAGATGAGCCCCGGGACAGATCTTTCTCTAGCAAGCTGGATACTCTAACAAATACACTCAGTCGCAAGAAGAAGCATCAGAAGGATCAAAGTAAGAGTGGTTAACTTTTTATTATCATGTTTTGTACATGTTCTCAAAATCGTGTTCCTAGCGTTCTAAATTTTTGGAATCTGTTGAGTCGAGTTTTTGTCTCCACAAATTGCCCGGCTGAGTTTTTTGGTGGTAGCTAAATTTTGGCTGCATTTATTTTAGGAATACGATGAGAAAAGATAACAACAGCAGCTGAATAACGTAACCTGCTATTATGATTAGGTTCTCTCATTTATCATTCTAACGGTCTCTAGACAACCACATTTTGTATGATTGTTGAAAATTTTCCCGTCAAAAACTTTCCTACGCTTAGTCGATTCTAACATTCGGATAATGTGCGTTGACAGTTTTTATTGTTTTATTCAGCAGACATGCAACGGTTTTTTTCTTCTTTTCAATTTTAGAAGTCAATTTAGAAATTGTAATGTCCGTTATGACCAAAGTCTTGATTATATTTAATTTAGGGCGATTTCGAGCCCCAAATCAGAGGGGCAGGCTACAAAGTTATGAAAAGGATCACGAATTAAACTTAAAGTAATTACCATTTAGAACGGTTAATTTTACCTATTATGGTTGTGTCCTGCTTGCTTCGTATGACTGTATAACTTGCTTTATATATATTCGTTTAAAGCAATGAATTTCTCGGGCTACTAATTAAGTTATAGCGTATGGCTGGGGTTGCTTGACAGTTTAGTTTGTACATAGCTTCTGTTTACTGAACTGATTTTTTTTCTTTGCTGCTGCAAATAACTTCTACATCTTCAACCTAAGGTGAGTCACTTAAAGTAATATGTATAATATACAATATAATATACAGATTCTTACAAGGTTCTGTTCGGTATCTAGTTACTGATATAGTGGATAATCATATGTGATTATAAGTTACCGAACTGTAGAAATTAATGAAAACAAACCATGAGCTTATATTTTAAATTGTTACCTGAATTTTAAGTTATAAGATAAATTTAATAAGGATTACCGGCTTCGTCTTATTCATTAAGTCAAGGGGGAAAATCAAAAATGTAATCAAATTAGGTCATGATAGCTCAGCAGTTAGCTGATAGTTCATCATGTACTTATTGTAGAATATAGTACGTGCCCCCTTTATCTTCTTTCAAAGCAGCAGACATATGACGCCACTAAATCTGCTCTTGAGTATTTTTTGGAAAGATCATCATAAATTTGTAAAAGGTACAGTGTGAAATGTATCACACTTTCGACTGTATCTTAATCGCTAAGTTTTCTGTTGTTAGAGCTATGAATTGTTGTAGAGTCGATGTTTTAAGTCCTGCCTATGAATCTGATCCAACTAGATTCTACGGGCCAGCAACTCAATTTGTTGGCGCAGAAAAAGTTGTTTTGAAATGTGACAGTGTAACTGGTATTCAGAAAAATTTACCGGATATCTGTGAAGATTACGGTGATATAGTGGGTGATGTGACTGATACTGAAGCTGGAGAAAATACCGTGGAGGACAGTGAGGAGGAAGTTTTACTCACAGCCAGTGCTCACAGAAATGTGACTGAATCAGAAGATGGCTTTCAAGTTTTTGATGGGTCTGCTGAGTGTGCTCCGGTCAGGTCAAATCATCCGGAACAAAGTATGGTGGGAAAAGTTCCCCTCAGGCAGGAATTTGTCGGACCAAGATCTGACAGATCTGAAAAGCAGCAGGATGAGGGCGAATCATATCTCTTTTATAGACATGATATCTACGATAATTGTAAGTTTTTAGTCCGCCGTCTTGACAGTTATATTTATTCAGTATCTGCGGCGAAATATCGTCGATAATATTAGGATAACAGTTTGGTAATGGTTTTGTTGACATACTGATTATTGATTGCCACTGTGTATGTAGTTTGTCGCCACTCTGTCTAGTACTGTAATTTTATTCGCGCATTATTTAGTCCAAGTTTGACCATGCCACGAACAGAGGAAACAAATATCTTTGAATATTAACATTAAGAATTTAAGAGAGGTTGTATAATTATGCCTACGACTCTTAAGTCTAGGTAATTGATAATACCATATAGAGAGTAAGGTAGAATTAAGTTAATGGTAAACTGAATATTGTGCTTCCCTAGGTTTAATTACCCATTAAATTTCCGCCACCAAACACAGGCCACTATCTCTAGCAGCCACCCATACAACTGCAACGGTTTCCTCCGTATCCCAACCTGTCAGAGACTTGTATGTCAGTCACGTGATTCAAACCAGCCAACAAGAGAGCTTGGCTGATGCCACGTGATCACCTTTTATCAGGACACGGTCACTTACAGAGATCTATAATTGTACGCCCTGTTTTTTGTGCTGGATCGAGCTCTGTTGTTTACCCAGTTGTTGTGAAGGATATTTCATAGTATTAGCAATTGTAATACTAGTTTTTGATAAGTTGAGTCATGAATACTCCTACTTCTGGCTCCTCGGCAAGCCTAAATAAGAGGCTTTCTAACGCAAGTCTTTACACACATACCATCATGAAAACCTCGTCAGAAGACTTGGCTGCTAGAGGACCTGCTAAAGATCCCATCCCTAAAATCTTATCTAAACGTGAGTATCCCCCTTAAGATTATGAAAATGTCACTCTAATATAAGGTGAAAGCAAATATCTCAGCTTGAGAATTGTGGCAAATTGTACTTACCTAATTAATCATTCTGAGACTTTACTTCCAGCATTTTTAAGATTCTCGACATTACTTTGATCTACTGAGCGGGTGATGATCCAGAACCTCTCATCAGTTGGTTACTGTAATTTCATCGGGACTGTTAAAAAACGTCTCAGTTGGAGTTAACCACCAAATATCTGGAGATATGTGCAGCAATAGTATATCTAATATAGTTTAAACCTTGTACGCTGCTTCCTTCCGGCTTGAGCCATATATTCAATGTTAGCTGCACTGTACGTACAATGTCTTTCTATACGAACAAGCCATTTGGTGCATGCTATGGCGAATAGAATCTAAGCAGTAGTATGTTCAACATATTAATTCATAAATTAGTTATTAGAAATACAGTTGAACTAATCCGAATCAGACTTCGGGTCTACAGCAGCAGGGTTGCTAATTCGTTCTTTGAAAGTTGAAGGCGTTCAAATTAGGAAAAGTTCGTTATTCAATATTATTATCATATTTTAGTTTAGCTATTCGTGTATTTAACACGAGCTGTAGTGCGGTTTAGGACGCCGAGAAATATTTTATCTGTAAAGAAATTTGTGATTTTCTCACCTGTTTGTAATTAAATTATGTGATATATTGATCAGGCAGCATATCAATGGTTGGCACACACGACTACCTGTCCAAGATCTCCGCTGATTTTGGTCGACCGTTTCGTATAGCTCTAACTGATCCACAATAGACTAACAACACAATACTTTTCTTAATTTTTAATCCTTCGTTCCTAATTTGTAATTGTTGCTTAATTCCAGTCTTTACTCTCTAACTAGTACTTCCGTAGCGAAATTTATGAATGCCAAATAACTTTATGTGTTGGATACCGTACAACCATATGATTGGAAAATATCGCGGGCATTTGGCAAGATGAGGATTGAACAAAGTTGAAATGAAAGTTGAGATGACTGATGGTAATTTCACTTACTTAAATGAGTTCTTGTACCTTAGGGGTGCTGAGGTTTGAACCATACTCCCGAAAGTTACATCATGAATCATGATAGCTGAATACTGTCTATATAATGACAATAAACTAACTTAGCTCAACAATATACATTAAGGAAGCATTTAATATTATTAAATTGAAACGCGATTGTTAAACCAATAAGTCACCTTAGTCATACCAAGTGCTCGCCACTTGTTTTATACTGTCTTTAATTCCCATATAGTCTCATTAAAATTTGCTCTGTTGCATAGAAAAATTTAGGCCGTCGACTGAAATGTAGCCTCCAGTAGATTGCAGAATTTATACAACCCGTGAAGTCAAGGCTGTAATTGTAATGCAGACTATTCGTGCCCGTACTCATTGTGAAACTCATTTCCTCCCAACTCGCGACATCTTCTTTACCTGCATAACTCGCTGCTTTAATACAACCTGCCTATGTTTCATTATTCGCTCTTAATTGCTTGCTTGCAGCTCTTAATTTCTTATCGCTTGCTATTGTAACCAAATCATTTAATTGGTCTCTAGCTATATAATTGGATCATCTGCCGCTGTACCATTATTTTTCTCTGTACCTCATACTTTTCCTTTTCAAGTATGATGTTAAGTGTGTTTGTAAAGAAGAAACAAAGCATTGGCTAAGCTAAAAAAAGAGTTCATACCGTTTGCTTTGTTACCCAATTAAACGGCACGCTTTTGTTAATAGGATGAGCACTGGTTAAATTCAATTAAATTTAGTTTGATCTGGCAAGAGTGGAAAGTAGTTAAATTTAGCCGCTACTCTTTTGTTCATCTCAATTTTGGCAAAGATCAAAAAATGTTGGGCATTTCCCAGCTTTGTTTTGCCTAATATTTCTATAGTTTATATAATACATATTTTAGTTGTTCGTGCTTGTCAAAGAGAGCTTAGAATTTTAAGATCTGTTGGAGGAAATCACCCACCTGAACTACTACCTGTAGAAGATAACACTTTGTCTCGAGTAGTCTCCGTAATCTCACTTTCCCTCTCAAAGCAATTAACTACATTTTGTCTAAAACTGTTGAATTATCTGTATCTGGTCTGAACAGTGGATATGAACAAGACACCATTGTTATTGTGTCTCAGTGGGGATGGAGACGATAAAAGAGGATACCGTCCTCACCTTGGTAAGTGATCAGTTCGGAGCTAGATATCTTTAACTTGGGATCTTTAATATTTTGGATTTTTGAGACGGACACTTGAGTATTTCCACTATGGCGGAAAGAAGACAAAAGGGGTAATAGGTCTTCATCGTTAAGATGTAAAATTAAGAATTTGTGCTTTAGCAAAAATTAGCCATTTAATTGCTTCCACCATACTTTCGATAAATCCAAAAAACGGATGGCAAAAATGATCATGTTTCAAGTCGGTCAAAATCTAAGAATGGATCCCTGAAGAAGCCAGGCGGTCCTCGAGATATAAAACAGGTGATGCTGCTCGTAAGGAGGTGACACACAGCGTACATGCGACCGTCAGCGTACTTCATTCAATATAATACTACTACTACAACTATAATGGACTCTGTAACATTCACGTTTCTCTGTAACAAATTGGCTGGACCATGGAATCGCATGACGCTCACATTACTATGGACAATGCAGCTGAATCGTGCATCGTACCAATGATAAAGTGTTTCCTATTGTACGAATCATGTTACATACTTTTTCGGCTAAACATTGTATTCTATCAATTATTATTACGTTATTTTACGATATTGCACGGTTTCGTCTAAGAAAGTAAGACAAAAGTTATTAAATAACATAATGCGTACAATATGTAATTCCAGGTTTATCATTGGTATGGTCAATGGTGTATTGGTACGGTGTCTGACTAGTATCCATAATCATGTGGCTGTCACGTGATTCCGCAGTTAACCTTCCTTGAAAGTTCCGCTGTACCGTTCACAAATGTAGTTACCCGACTGTAGATTTACAGTTTATCTCAGACTCTGTGGCTGACTAGCTCTGTGGCAGACTAATTGACTAAGTAATATTTCCCCTCATGAAAATACACTATTAAGAAATTGGAGCTCATTACCAATGACTTTTTTCGCATAGCTCAACATGAAAATTATCCAAATAAAGCATTATTAATTGATTCGAAGTTTGCCTATAGTCCGCCGCGTTTTTATCATGTTCGTGTTCAAAAAAGATTTCAATTTGACTCTTGGTTCGGAGAGTATTCCTACCCACGTCGGTCACTTGATGCACATATCTTCTGCCAAATATGGTAAGCTTAATTAGATAGTTACCCTTCTATATGTAACCTGACTTCAAATTCATGTTTCTTCATGTCACTTCGATCTCATCTAGAAATCAATTTTTTCCTTCAAGTTCATCGATAATCTCGAACAGTACAAATAATACAAATTGTTGTCAATATGATAATCTCTGACTCTGTCCCGTAGCTGAAAAAAGTCCGATCTCAGTTGATTTACCAGTTATTTTATAACACCGGTCAGGTGATACTTTCTTTACACCATTCTTCCTGTGAATCGAATGGATAAGAGCACTCCAACCCAGATACGACTTGCCCTAGGTAAATAATTGCAGATCATCAAGAGACTTGAGGATTTGAGGGACAGCTGTCTTACACTAATATACGTGCTCACTGCTCAACACGTACTTCATTTCAAATAATGAACTAGCAGTGATCTGAAAAATTCCTGAAATGCCAACAGTTGCTAACTTTCAGATCAATAGAATTTCATAGATCGTTTCCTCTTGCAGATCTATCCTCTCAGCGATAGTTAGCATTTCTTGGTCATATATAACGAATAATGTAGATCAATTGGGCGGTAGATAAATGGATCAAGGATAGCAATTTGATAACCTTCCCGATCTATTTATCAGCTGGACTTATAGACAAGGTTCCCACTCCAGATCCCCCTCCCGATCCCCCTCCCCAACTATGTCATTCCAGACTCGTGAAGGTGACTGTGCTCAACGAAACGGTTAAAGATGGGTTTAAGGTAGATAAGATTGAACTTTCACCAAACTAAAATGTCTTAAATGTCGCTTGACAACGATTAACAGCAAAACCGAGATCCTTGAAAATAATTTGGAGTGCTTACAGGATTTGTCGACAAAATTTGTTTATAATTTACGCATAATAAACTTAATTCTTCTTCTTGATTCGTCAAGAAAAATTCCTGAAATGCCAACAGTTGCTAACTTTCAGAACAATGGAATTTCATAGATCGTTTCCTCTTGCAGATCTATCATCTCAGTGCTAGTTAGCATTTCTTGGTCATGTTAATTGTTTTGTTGAAAATTGTATATGAGTGCGGACTGCGGAGTGACACATCATCTTATCGAAAAACTATCAGAGCAGACCCTTTTATGAGCCATGGAAATTTGAGAGTCACTTAGAATACCAGTTTTACGATTAACATTCTAATGGCTAATAAAGCGGTTCTCCGCAAACAGAAAACAGGATTACAAAGGAAAAGGATATTCAACTCAGGTAAATTTTCTTAATACTTTAAAATGTTGGCATGCGATAATAATAAGGTGTATTCATGTTATTTTGCCAATAGCTTCCAGTTGAGCCGACCTTCTGGTCACAGTTTGTTTGCAATAAAAGTGCTCTTACTCTCAGTCTAACTTCTCGTTCATATATATCGAATAATGTAGATCAATTGGGCGGTAGATAAATGGATCAAAGATAGCAATTTAATAACCTTCCCCCCCCCCCCTCTCCCCTGGGCCTCCCCAACTGTGTCATTCCAGACTCGTGAAGGTGACTGTGCTCGACGAAACGGTTAAAGATGGGTTTAAGGTAGATAAGATTGAACTTTCACCAAACTAAAATTTCTCAAATCTCGCTTGACAACGATTAACAGCAAAACCGAGGTCCTTGAAGATCTTATCTTATCTTATCTTATGAGGATTCGTTGCGACGCAACAAGGCCATCGAATGAGTCGACCACCTTTTGTTATTTTACTTCGGCATTACCTGCATTACAATGTAAACCAGCACTTTCAAGGAAGAGCTTTACAAGAAGCCGAAGGATCGTTCATAAGGCCAGCGACGGTTAAGGCACTATGCCACACTTTCTTCGCCCGAGGCTTCGCTGTGTTGATCAAGCACAGCTCCTCATTTAACCCTCACACCCGAAGATAATTTGGAGTGCTTACAGCATTTATCGAAAAACATTTGTTTATAATTTACGCATAATAAACTTAATTCTTCTTCTTGATTTGTCGATCAGGCATGAAATGGTTCAGAACTGATATAATAAAGCAACAAAGCTTTGTTCCATTGACGTTTAATTCAAATAGTTCAGAGTAGGCACCGTTTTTTTATTCTAGGTTAGAGTTGCAGCTACAGTTGTAGGGTAGCTATACATCTACTAACTGTACTAGGGTGTGACATCTGTTTTGTTTTACTGTCCGACCACGTCAAAGTTATGTCACTGTATTGCCCTGTGTTATTTCCGTCTACTGTCCGTGTCCAATACGGTTTTTTTTGTGATTTGCCTTTCTTATATGTGTCTTTGTTGCAGCGGATCACTTTTCTAGGCACACCCTTGCCTACTTATTGGATACAGTCAGTAGTTATTATGACAAACAGTACATTACTAGCCGATAGTCATTGTCAAATCTTGTCTTATCCTTGCCGCCCGTCCGCGGATTGTAGTCTGAAATTTTAATTTAACGTACACACACATTCTTGTGACTTAACATTTGTACAATATAATCGTATAAAACTCCCCCAAAACTTGATGACAGGCGTGTAAGTTCGCCTGTTGAGAATCACAACGAAACCGCCAGTCAGAAGACAGTATTTTCGTCACGTGTTTTTGCCCACCCAATGAGCCCTGCGTCAGAGAACGATGTAATTGCTGCGTTGCTTTAGTTAAAACCCTCCTGTAGTTGTTATAGTTTGTGCTGTCCTAGGTGCAAGATAAGCCTCCAATATGACCCTCCTAGCTACTCTTCTCGGCCGACAGAAGGCTGGTGTTGCAAATGCTTGTAAAGAAGGTAAATCCCCTTCTTCACACCTCATCTTATCTTTGTTACCGTAGAATATCCGGATGTTATCATGGATACGTCAACACTCATGATTTGTATCGGAAGTCCAGTTTTTTTTCTCAACCTGGGTATTTAGAACCTGAGTTGGTTCCACTGAACCGTTTACTGTCAGTGTCACACTCACATTTGGTCGCCATATCATATTTTATTGTTTTCTTCTCCGGACGGCTCGTATCGCTGCAGGTAAATTTAAATAATTATCTCATCTCATGAGCCAAAAAAAGAATCCGTCTCATAAACTCTGGACACAGATCTCTCCTCCAAATCACAATTTCCCGTCTCATGCGAGTGGTACAGCATGACGCGGCTAACAGCGGGATAAGTTATTTGCAACCACTTCTACACAATAGTGGATAACTGTTTGACTTGTCTCGGGCACAAAGACTAACTGTTCTAACGACCCGTTGTGACAGTCACGTGACTGTCATTTCCGGACCATTACCAAGCGTGCGCCGTCACTCCGGACCAACCCTACCTCGTCTCTAACTTCCCGTTTACTCCAGCTCAGTCCGTCAATGTTTTACGGTTTTCTCATTTGATAATTGAAGTTAGTTGATCTGTGTTTTTGACGAGCTGGTGATGAACGCGTACAGTGGCCGAGCTTTTACCCTGAAGTCAGTCCTAAAGTTACTACCAAGGAAGCGCTGGTCCATGTCCCGCAAAAGAAAGTGCCCAATTGTGCAAAGTGGTTACCAAGTCTCAGGTTTTCCTAACTCTGAGGATCTTTGTTGGTCTGAAGTGGATTGTCTTGTGTTCTTGTCTGTACAGCGTGAGCGAGTGCGTAGAATGAACTATCTGCTAATGTATTTATTCAACCCCGGCCTCCTTATTTGTCGTTCTCTCTATATTCAGTGGGAGCAGAGTGTACGCTTAGTCGTGCAACTTTATTCTGTAACTGTGCTTCCTCATAAGATATTGGTGTGTGGGAACCAACCCTTAACTCAGCTCTAGTCTGCTAGTATAGTAGTATAGTGGTATAGTATAAGTGCATGGCTAGTTCCGTGTCAATTATATACGATGTGGTGATTTTAGCGACCATGGTCGTAACCCTTATTTGGTAATACTTATTGCTTCCTTGTCAGGTTCCTTTGTCCCATACTAAAGATACTATGTAATATGTATAAATATAGAGTATACTATCTAGATCCAATAAATTAAATCATTTCAGTTGACGAGCTAGAACGAGAAAAAGAAGAAGCCCTCAGACCTCTGACTTCTGGAATTATGGAAACAGGCATGGATGGTGAGTGGATAAACTTATTATAGTCCTAGTTATATCATATACATGTATGTATATTATCAATTATGTATAATATATATGTAGTATGTAATTTAGTGTACAATCGCCTTTTATCCTGATACAATTCTTTAAGATTAGGGAAGTCAGAAATTTAAATATTTAAACTACAAAATTAGACACAAAACTTAGAAAATGTACATTGCAGGAACGAAAATGAATTACAATTTAGGTTAAGTTGCTGTGGTCGCAAATAATAGCACCGGTTACAATGAAACTTGCAATGTGAAGTTGTTAATTATTGTTTGTTAAGTTCGTAAAATTCTGCTAATTTCATCCAATCAAAATAAGTCCACCGAGAGGAATCAATTAGCTTGTGATATTTGCGTACATCAGAAATGTGCCTGCCCAGTGGCATATTTTCAACGTTTTAGTTTGAACTGTATAAAAATCTCACGCTCGTAATTGTCGTTGTTGTCGATCCATATTGTACTGTTGACAGATGGTAGCGCGGAGTGAGCGAGACGTTTCTCCGTCGCACGAGTAATTAATTAGTTAACAAGCAAACCAGTATACCGTATCTCATGTGAACTGAGCACTTCTACACAGTAGTTATCTCTCGCGGCACATCTGTCAGCCTCTCTCTCTGACCTGGTTACTCTCATTAGTTCTTATTAAGATTATCAGTGGTTTTCTTGCTCACTAAGATATAAATATATGTAATAGTTCAGTGCTTTGCGTCCTTATTTCAAAAATTCATAAGTTTATCTTTGTAGAAGCAGTTTTTTAGGGTTATCCGCCATGATTCTAACTAACGAATCCCAACTAAAGAAGATATTAGCTTCTGGTAAGTGGTTGAGACATACGTGTGTAAGATGGTTTGTCAATAAAGTCACCAACTTTACCACATACCACGTGACTTTCACCTGTCAACACAGAAGTTATCTTTGTTAACAGCACAAACTACTAGAACCCATTATATCATTATGTCATTGTTTGACTGGAAACTTCACTATTTTAATCCATCATTGTTCTTCCATTAGCACACACACACACCAATTAGTTCAGCTTATTTGTTAAATGTTCCATATTATTTAACCCTCCCACTCTCTGCCACCCAGTGACCGGGGGGCAGATTATTAGCCGGGAAGCCACTTTTTGGCCGGGGTGCTATTTTGAGCCGGGGATTGGGGCCGGTTTACCCTTACTGTTAATGCCAGGTTAGGAGAAATAATCAATTCAGTAATAAAAATATTGTACAGCTGTTTATGAGTGCTGCATTTGTTTGACTGCCAGTTTACACTCAAACACAACTTAACCTACACTCAACAATTTGAAGAACTGTATATGATAAAATTTTAAAAAGGAAAAGTTAAGGTGAAAATACCGTTCTGGGATTGACCGGGGGCATGAGTTTTGGCCGGCAAATAACCAAATTGCCACCCCACTAAAATAACCCTGATCCTCGCAGAAAGTGGAGATTACAAACGACAAGTATCAAATGAATCTCTGAAGGACCCCCAAGTGCAGGCCCTCTCCCAGCAACTAAAGGAGTGGATTAACGACGTCCTCACTGATGATCACATTGTGGTTAAGAACCTCTGCGAGGATCTGTCCGACGGTCAGGTCCTCTCCGCTCTGATTGGTTAGTGTTAATGGGTTAATTAATCACTTAATTTAATTACAAGTTGAAAGGTTTTGTTCAGCTTATGAGCGGGATTATTGACTTTTCAAGATTTCGTTATTGATTTTAAATTGTATTTCCATAAGTGCTGAAAGATAAACTGCCCCTATTATCTGAATGAAGCATACATTTCGTTTAGCAGTTTAGCGTACATCCAGTATTTATGTCCACTAACCTATACTTGTACTCAGAGAAACTAGCGGGAGCTAAGATAGAGCACAAGGAAGTAGCTCAAAGTATTGCTTCTCAGAAAGCTAAACTAACTGAAGTCCTCAATCAGATCAACTATCATCTCCAGGTATAAATAGTCTTTTAACTTTTTCCACGTGGTTAATGTTCTGAGATTGTACAGGGTGTTCCAAAAAATACCAAGTGATCAGTGTTAGTGACTCAAGAACATTTTGAGAACGTCATTTATTGTCTGTGTCACACAATTTAATTTTACAAACCTTCTAAAAGCTGTTATGTCTACTTATGAAGATGAGATGCAGGGGTGGGAGACAATTTACCTCCGACAATTGACCCCCCGACAATATAATTTAATACAACCCTAACCCTAACCCTCATCCTTGTCCTGACCCTGACCCTGACCCTAACCCTAACCCGATCAATTGACCCTAGTGTAATTACATGGGGAGTCAATTGTCGTACTAAGCCCTAGATTTCGCGACAATTGACCCAAGTGTAATAACATAGGGGGTCAATTGTCGTACTAAACCCTAGATTTCGCGACAATTGACCCAGTATAATTTCATAGGGGGTCAATTGTCGGGGGGTCAATTATCGGGGGGGGGGGGGGGGGGGTCAATTATTGCGGTCCCGAGATGCAGTCGTCGCGTTAATTTCTACACGTCCCGGTATATATACGCGCGTGCCTCTACAGTTTAGTTTCGTTAATTTCTACACGTCCTTGTATATACACGCGCGTGCCTCTACAGTTTAGTTTCGTTAATTTCTACATGTCCTTGTATACCGTATATATATATATATATATACTATTTTCACAACTACAATTAAATACATTTATTGAGGATGACTGTAAAGGTACATTTAACCGACATTTGAAGTCAGATGGTGTTTTACTGATAGTTGTGGCTGACTAATAATATATATATATACGTGCGTGCCTCTACAGTTTAATTTCGTTAATTTCTACACGTCCTTGTATATACACGCGCGTGCCTCTACAGTTTAGTTTCGTTAATTTCTACACGTCCTGGTGTATATACGCGTGTGCCTTTACAATTAAGTTTCGTTAATTTCTACACGTCCTGGTTTATATACGCGCGTGCCTCTACAGCTTAGTTTCGCTAATTTCTATACGAGAAGAAAACGTACGTGCGTGCCTCCATTGTTCAATCCATAACTGTTGGGAACTGTTTGACAACGGGCATTCGATATGATTATAAATATGGTCAGGAAATTACATCTAGTTAGAGCCTCAAAAACTGAATGGGCAAAATGAACATGTTCCTGATGAAATTTTGAAGTTTTAAGTTGTTAAGTTAAATCTGAGGCGAGTTATTAAAACAAAAGTCACCTGGTTACCTTTTTTCTTAGACACCCTGTATCTGAAGCCAAGTTTTGTAGATAGATAAATGTAGGGGGGGGGGGCAACCATATTAAAGTATATCCCCGGGTCAAAATCGGAAAAAATCCTACATTTTAATATACTTTAATATACCTACAATTAGAAGATTTATATTCTTCGTTAAGATTTACATGATGAACTATATTTTCACTCAGATTCGCAAGATAAGCCTGTTTTAGGACTAGTACATGAATTTCCATCCAGATTGGTAAAAAATTGGCTGAGCTATGAGCTTAAAAAAATATGCCCATATTTGGGCAAACGCTTTTGCTCAAATTCGCATTTGCCCAAATTCGATAAAATTTCAATATTTTTTAATGAGACTAACTCTATGTGAAAGATATAACTCAGTGTTTGTTGAATATAGTGGATACTAAGTAAAAAGACCTCCATGAACAAAATTGGGAAAATTGCACATAATATCTCGGTTCGGAATACTAGCCAAAATGGCTTCATTAAAATTGAAATAACTCCATCAGTTTTCAATATTTTTTCAAGAACTTTTTGGAATCGATTAAGAATTGCATTTCAAGCTTACTTTGCGCAACAATTTTTGATGTAGGCCTCCAAGGAGATAGGGATATATTAAAGTATATTGTAGGTATATTAAAGTATATTAAAGTATATCCCCGGGTCAAAATCGGGGAAAATCCTACATTTTAATATACTTTAATATGGTTGCCCCCCCCCCCCCGCCCCCCCCCCCCCCCCCAATGTATTACGGTTATCAACTTGATAATTAGTTAGGTAGAGTGAAGATTTGTTTCTGGCCTATTTATAAAAAGAAACTAACGCGGAGTTCTAGATGAATCCATCATTGCAGGTTGTAGATGACGGAATCAAATGGAATGTGGACAATATCCACAACAAATACCTGATATCTGTGTTACATCTGCTGGTGGCGCTGGCAAGACACTACGGCATTCCAAGGAGACTCCCTAGCTTTGTCAAGATACAAGTTCTACAGATAACAGTAAGTATATTTATAAGGGAGTACTGGAAATAGCGCTTGCAATAGAATGCGTGTAAACTTGATTGAAGTTATGTTCGAAGATTCTCAGCCAAAAAATAAATAAAATTGTGCAGATAAATCGAGATTATTTAAACTTAATATGTCAAAAAAAGGAAATTCTAGCCTCCTTTAATACCTTGTTTCCACCAGAAAGCGACACAACAAACAGAAACAATCTCCGAGCAGATTACTGGTGATGAGGAAAGAGAGTGAGTATTTTATCTCATATCCCTCTACATTATTGTAACTTGTTGATAAGTAGTCCCTACAGCTCATGTAGTGAGGCCCCTCCCCCGAGTCAGGGGCTCTCCTCACAATATGCCTGTTCTCCAGCACTTGTTGATTGAATGCAATTCAAATCTGTCGCAGCACCCTGGCTTCTGTCTTTATTCCTACCTTTAGAACTCGTAGTGGGAGTGATGAAGTGGCGATGATTGCAAGTCCTGGCTTATCTTGACATTCAATACATTGTTGCTACTCAACTTAGTATTACAGTTCATATCTGTTCTACTGAGATATTACTATTTCACTTTTGTGTCTCGACAATTTTCAAGCCCTCTAGTTCGTTGTTATCTTAATAAGTTTGAAATGTCTACTCCGATCTATGCTGTTTGTGAAAAAAAAGATAAGGAGTATGTTTTTCTTTCAATAGTTCTCATGATTTATCGCATGCCAAACAAAAATTTGTGCACTAAACTCCCAACTAGTTATTAAAGAACAAAGTCGGAACAATACCAAATTCTTTTAATATCTAAGCAGTAGTGCACTTTATCTAAACCATAGCTCAATAAAACAGAATTTATACTATTGATTTGATAGATCGTGACATAGTCGCTTCTAGTCTTTAATAGTCTCTGTTAGTCTCTGCTAGTCTCTAATAGTCTATGATAGTCTCTTGTATCTCTGCTAGTCTCTAATAGTCTCTGTTTCAGACATTACAACTTTGCCGCCAGACAGCAGGAACGTGATGTATTCGACACCCTGTTCGACTCTGCTCCCGACAAACTCAATGCTGTTAAGGGGGTAAGTCACTTCTCAGTTTGATATCATAAGAGATGCCATTGAGTTACAGTTTATCAATCTTTATTAGTTTTGTGTACTACAACATACCACGTCGCGTTCGTCTGTGGATCATTTGTGAGTTCTTTTAGCGAAACTCTTGTTATTTGTTTACTTTGAAACAAACTATTCTCCAGACATAAACAAGGAAACAGGTTGTCTAAAAACACTAATCCTTGTTTTGTGTATCTGTCTTCGTTAACTAAACCTATTCTCTTCAGTCCCTGATGGCGTTTGCGAACAAGCAGTTGTCTCAGATAAACAGAGGTTGCAGCAATATCGAGGAGGACTTTGCTAACGGTGTAAACTTGGTGGTCATGATGAGTCTGGCTGAGGGGTACTATGTTCCAATGTACTCTTTCAGCATGGAACCTGAGGCCTATGACCACAAGGTAACTGGTTTAAAACTGCTCCACGCGCTTATCACGTGCTAATAGTGGTGTTTGCTAACTGACGTTTTAAATTGAGTTTCCTTAAAACTTTATTTCTAACTGACACTGAGGCCTTGGCCTTCATCTTAGCTAGTATAGCGGTAACGCTTGAATTCTCCTAAATGGATTTCTTAGACAGGCTGTTAAATATTTGCTGTTTACCGAGATAAATTTCAGATTACTTTAAGGCCTGCGTATTCAGATTTTGAATATCTAATTAACTTATTTTTGTTCAGCTACACAACGTTACGCTCGCCCTGAATTTGATGCAAGAAGCAGGAATCCCTCGACCTAAGTGTACTGCTGAAAGTATCGTCAGCAAGGACCTGAAATCAACCCTCAGGGTGCTTTACGCTATCTACTCCAAGTACAAGCATCTTGTCAAATAGGTCACATCGTCTCTGTTTCGGATAAAATACTCCGACGAAACATCCATCCCCGGTCATCCTGTCATCATTCCGCGTTATCCTATTCCCGAGACTGAAACATGAGGAAGTTCGATACAGTTCTTACTTAACATTTGTTAAAGTTGTTGCAAGCTTTTGAGAGTGTGTTTAGACTTTTTATTTTGAGTGGAATTTAGCTTTTAGTTCAAATGTACAGATATAAAATCCATACGAAAGTTATAATTTTATATATAAATCTTCTTTACGATTTCCTTTGTCAAGTTATGTCAGTGTAACTTGATGACTCGTCTGATGATTTTATATTATGAATAATACTGGTACTGCTAATTACGTTAATTATCAAAAGACCTGAGAGTGCATTGATCCTGACGACTGGACTCTTTGAAATTTTAAAGATCAGATAACGTTGTTCTTCTTTCATCCAAAAATTGTGTTAGAATTTTTCTTTTAAACGCGAGCAGTGAATGATTTATAGCTTTGACTAAAACTTTTATTAAAAATAGATATGAAATATGATTATTTATACGGGAATTTTGCTGAATCTATGAATTTCGGTCAATCAATTCAGAATGTGATTGTGCTCTTCCATTTTATTTTACATTTCATACCATGGTTATTCGTGCTTTTAATTTCTCTCTTAATTTGTGGTGAATATCATGCTCCCTTGGTTCCGAGGTGAGAAGGCCGGATGATGATTAATTGATGATGGTATGAAACCAAATTGAGGTGCTGGAAGTCAAAATCCCGAAGAAAATTGAAAAACCATATTGTCCCATTTTCAGTTTTTAAAACTGAAATTTCCAGGACCGAAATTTAACAGAATTGACTGAATTTGTCGCCCGTAAACAATTAGTCAGTCCACTATATGTGGCATATGACACGATTGAGGTGCTGGAAGTTTGATTTCGCGGGCGGATGAAACCCACAGCAGAACACTCGGGTTTTGCTCAGAAACCAATTAGTCAGTTAATTGATGATGATATGAAACCAAATTGAGGTACTCCAAGTCAAAATCCCGAAGAAAATCGTAAAATCATATTGTCCCATTTTCAGTTTTCGAAGACGAAATTTCCAGGGCAGAAATTTTACAGTTTTGACTGAATTTTTCGCCCGCAACCAATTAGTCAGTCAACTTTAGGTGGCATATGACACGATTGAGGTGCTGGACGTTTGATTTCGCGCGGGCGGAGGAAGCCCACAGCAAAAAACTTAACAAAACGAAAATTTGTATTTTCCAAACTCTGTCCCATTTTCATATTTGACAGATTGGGTAAACTTTTTGCTCAGAAACCAATTATTCAGTTAATTGATGATGATTGGTAACCGGGTAACGTGATCTGACTCCTCTTTTGGCCGGATCAGTTTGGTTCTTCAAAGTCGGCCACCGAAAAAAATGTTAGGACGGCCAGTTAAGTTTAACTTATGACTTAGCAGAGATAAGAAGCCACCAGGGCATGCCAAGAGCGCCTATAAATAAGAATGATCGAGTTGAACACAACAATATTGTAATGCAATGATAACAAGAAATGCAGCCGCTTTTCTTTTGTGGATGGCCGCTCAATTTTTTTTTACTTGATCAGTTCAGCGCCGCAAACCAACAATAATTTAATTCAGAATATATCGCGATCGCGATAAATAACTTTGAGTAGTTAGGAGCGTGGGACAACTGTGCGCGCGAGCACGTATGCACGACACTAGGCGACGGACGCAAGCTAGCTTACACTGCACCAAACAAATTTCATTCGCTATAACTCTTATCCTTGACTCTTTTGTATTATTTGTGCCTTCGGCACTTGGTCTTAAGTCATGGATTGGGGGAAATTATGCTCTATAGGGACATTGACAGCAAACGATCTTAAAGATAAAAGAGTTCTGTTTGATAAATTGTAATGTTCCGCCACTGTCGTACATATATGGAGTTTTTAATGCTATCAATCTGTGAGACCACACGTCGCTAGAGATCACTAGAGAGTCAACATATTAAGTGAAATATCATTATCCGTAGTTCTGTATTTTGTACGTTCTATACTACATCTACTTGTACTGTGTAGTTTAAGTTTAACAGAACTGGACACGTCTTAAGTGGTGAGAGTACTCATGACTACCGGGACTGTATGCTATTAGAATTACATGTATTGCTGTGTATTGCTGTGTATTACATGTATTACATGTATTACATGTATTACTGTATTGCTGTGTATTACATGTATTACATGTATTATTATATTGTTGTGTATTACATTTAATCACAGTAATTGCTGATCGTACAGCTGCACTGTGTATATTTGATGTATAATATTTGATATTCCGTGTAGCTTACATTAATTGACAGTGTATTGGTATATGCCAGTGATTTGGTACAGCTTTGGCTGGTGATACACATTACACACTCTATAATGGCTCGTAGGACACTCTACAACTAGTATAGTGCCTCGGCACAGAGTGGCTTAGGGTTACTGTGAATGAGATAAGCACCTCAGGCCATCCCAACAATTACGGGAGAGACCTGCCCTTGTATTGTATTGTATTGTTGTATTGTTGTATTGGTATATTCCATGGTTACCATGATTACCATGGTAACCATGATGGTTGAAGTGTTTATGTTTGAATATATAGTATCGTTAGTACCTTGTTGTCGGAACCTATCTACAGTAACAACTATCTGTGTGGTCTACTGAGAAACCTATTTTGGTAGATCCATTGGCACTCAACAGCTATGATGACATAATATCTTGCTGTCCTGCATTGTCAAAGTTTTTATGTCGTTAGTACCTATAACGATACAAGGCCTGGTGTTCAAAGAGTGCAGTACCTGATCAGTGATTATGCCTTAAATAGAGGGATGATATCTAAAAAGTAATCAGTACATTTATATGTTACCAGTACCGCATTGGTTCATACACAGTTCATACAGCTGTACGGCAGCAATATTTGTACGATCAGTGACGATTTAAATCAATTTTACTGTTCCAAGTTTATCCTGATATGCACATGATTTGATGATTCATTCATGATTTGTGGTTTATTCTGTTTAAATTTCATTGCTTTGCTCAACTTCAAACGTACTATGCTCGTGACATCTTTTTTAACTTTTGAACTAATATCACAACAAGCATAATTGGGCAACTTATTATACTATACTAAAGTGAACTTTGTGGCACTTTATTTCTATAATATATAAATAGGTTAAGGTTGTCTCTCTCAGTCTCGCAAATCTCAATCATTTTATTCTTTGCTACATGTCCCCTCAACACGTATGTTGAGAAGTTTCTCTATCTCACTACACAGAACACACAGTATTATCACAGCTGTAGTGACTAATGAGAGGTATACACTATACAGCGTGTCGCATGCTGTGAAGTGCATCAACACATGCTACACGTGACAGCTACCACACTATAACACGTGGAAACGCTGGTATAAGTACATTTCTTAATTTGTCTAGGTGGTGTGTTGTAATTTCAGCCGCTTCATCATGGCTCCGTTTCTACATTCATCCCAGCTCTTAATGCTTGTCATAACTCAATTTGGGAGTTGTTACTTATCGTGCCGTCGAACTAATTAATTAATATTTTTGATGGCCGACTTTCCATATATAATAGTTTCACAGTTACATTTGGGGAATTTCTCGCTTCTGCTATTCGCTATAGTTGTTGTATATTATTAAGTCACAATTTGGTTTATTAATTTATCCTTTTTTAATGTTAAAGCATTGAAGTATATAATCTTGTGCATATTATAAGGCAAGGTGCAGCAGCAAGTTACAAAAGCTTGCCTCTAGCTACCTTCCGGTTATACTTATTAGCTTATAAAGTATAAGTATACTTATTATAGGAGGTACGGTCACCACGAGATGGTATTCAATGTTTAATGTTTATTGATCGCAGAGATGCCATGTATAGCGTGTATAGTGCATAATAGTTTTTACGTACGGGTTGTGAATGTTCTCGTGGTCGCAGTTTCGACTTTCGTCTCATTATTTTGAACATTTGTCCCGTGATCCGGAGTAATTACGACAGATTATGCTAATTTAGAAATAAGTGATACCTTACAAGACATTTTTGTGGCGGACCAATGTGCGACGACCGAAATTTTGGCGGTCCGAAAATATGGCGAAATTGAACAAAAACCGTCACATTTCGGACGTCACAGAAAATAAGGGTATTTTTCATCATTTTGTTTTCTGACACAAAGGAAATTCAAAATTTTCTAAAAATCGGTAAAATCATGTTGAAACAAAATGAAACTTATAAATGATTTTTTCATCTTCCTCTAAGGGGTCCGGCTCGAATCTTTCAGTTTCACTTATTGAGTTTGGTATTAAATTGTTTATCTTGACTTAGTCTATAAGACGTTTATGTTAGCACATAAATGTAATTTATTGTAAATTTAAAACGTATAACTTGACATTAAATTCATCATGGAATATTGTGTTTATTTGTCCCACCATCATATCACTAACTTTTCAAGAACAAAATGAATCGATCTAGCCACAATTATTGGAATAAGCTAAAAATAATGCGACGGATTCTATTACGACGACCGAAATTTTGGCGGTCCGAAAATATGGCGAAATTTCGGGAAAACCGTCGCATTTCGTACGTTATAAAAATGTCTTGTAAGGTAATGTACTTCCTACTGTGGTGATACAGATGTGTGTACTTCTTGCCAGTGTAACATGACTCTCCCGACTCGCTCTTAGTTTTGGCATGTTAGTTTGTTGTACATTTGTGTGGTATTACGTTACATTTTAGATACAATCATAAATTATAACTGAGTGATTATTGTGTTGGAGTCATCATGCTGGCAGTATTTTCTCTGTGATATTTAATGCTTCAATTTATTAGTTTTTCTATCTGACATCAGTTTGTGTCCTAGTTTTATTTCTAAAGTCCACCATTTCATTTGCTCGGGTATGTGGCAGGTACGTGGTTGCAGCTCACGTATCTTGATTAGAGGTAATTAGAGGTAATACTTATAGAGGACTGGCCATTTTAATTCACCTCCAAAATGAAATAATATACTTATTTCAAAATGGTTATGTCACCTCCCTATCAATACCATATTGCTAATATAAATCGTTAACCATGTATTATTACTAAATTATAATGTCAATACATTTATTAAATCTAATTAAGCGAATAATCAGTCACATGTGTGATGTGACGCAGCTATTGTTTAACTGTTAGTATTTAAACCTTTACTTTATTTCTTTGATAAGCATGCAGAGAATTCATGATGCGGACAATCTAGCTTCTAGCTCTGACACAGGGCGATCAGATTCAGATTCAGAGAGACAGTTACTGTCATTTTGTGAGGGTTGCTACGTTTTGAAAGGCACGGGGGAACAATGTAACTTACACGGCTACGGGGGAGCTCCTCTCCAAAGTAAGAACAAGTTTTTAATCTAATTTTCTTATAATGAACAGTGGAATAATTGCCACAAAATTGGCACCATTTCAAAGGACTAAGTGTCGGAACATACGGGCCAGGATTCGAGCCGTGACAACTCTCACGAAGTGCTCAACGGACTGTGACAACAGAGTGCCAAGGATACGGATTTTGGCGTTTCACGTCTTTTGAAAAGCGTGAAACGCGTGACTAGCAGTTTTCACAAATTATTCTCACAACATGACAACGTGAAAACTTTCATGACTTCTAAACATACTACGTGACTCTTCGTGAGAGTTGTCACGGCTCCAATCACGGCCCGTCTGATCCGACCATAACACTAACGATTCCAATTACACCTTCTAATGGCGCCTTTTGACACCACTGGGAGTCATTAGTGAATACCTTAATTCCCAAAAATTTGGGCGACAAAAAATTTGAGCGGGCCTCTCGCCCAAATTTTTTGCAGACCAAATTAATTGCATAAATTTTTTGCTAACCAAACTTTTGGCATTTGGCCTGTGGCCCTGAAATCCATAGAAAGATGGCTTTTTCTTCATATCCAAGTGAAATAATATTTGAAATTTTAGTTTTCTATAATCTGTCATTTATGCCTCATGGCTTGACCAAGTAAAAAGGCTTATATTTTAAATGAATAGAAATAACTGGAATAGCTAACAGCTACTAATAAAACAAATGGCTAGAGGTACGGATAGCTAGAGATTTAAACAAGATCTGCAAATGGATTATCATCCACCGTAAAGTCTGATCTACAAGCATCAGTTATACCCGACTTCTCAAAGCCTTTCCTTATGTCATCTGGCCTCCCTTTTAAATATACAAAACGTTCGTTGATCCAACGAGCGTGTACTTCACGGATCACTGTCAAGCGGGTATCAATTTTCACATTGTCTGATGAAACTCCTCCATTGAGCTGACACACTATGTTTTTCGCGTACCAATCTTCGTACTTATTGCGCATGAATTTCTTAGCCAGTCCATTGATAGATATGTCCAGGGGCTGTAGATGATGGGTCATATTAGCTGGAACTTTCTCTAGGATGCAGTTGTTGGCTGTCATCAGATCTTTTAGTGTCTGTGTGTGTTGGGCCCGAAACACATCTGATATCAGTAGCGCTTTCTGCTCAGGGTTGTTGATGGAGGCTCGAACTGATTCTATGTGGGGAAGAAGGATTTTCTCAAAGAACTGGACACTGGTCAAAACTTTCGACCATCTGGTGAGGCGTCATAATGATAATTGTATGTGAAAGGGGTATGATAAGATATGCTGAGTGTAAGTAAACTAAACTATCTGATTGAGAGACTAAATATCACTATTGTATATCTATCATTTTGTACTGTGCCATCATCACTGTATTTTTTAGTAGTTACTGGGCAGATCGTAAATTTCATAATGTGAAACAACTCAGACCACCACCTACATGCTTAAAATTGAAAGCAAAATGACTGGAATAATAAGGAATAATAATGAACTAAGGCAAATATCTAACTGAAATTTTTGTGGAAAATCGTTCATTTTTCGAAGAATTTATGCCTAAATTTTATGAAGTGATAAATTTCATGACTCCTACTCCTAGTAACTATTAACCTCAATTCCCCAGGTTGGTTGTTAAGTTCGATGGGACGGAGATGCCAAGTAGTCAGTATATTATCAGTTTTTGTCGCAGTCCTCGTCCTCGCATTCACTATGACCTCTCCCCAGGCACCCTACTTTTTCTGGACGTTATTGATAATATTCATTTTAAGTCTCACGACAATGTTATTATCAATATGGTATATTCAAGGGACTATACACAAATACAGATACCCCCATACCTGCCCCAGAATGAAAGAACCAATTTGTTTGTGATTTTTGTACTATTTTTTATTGTAATATTTAATCATTGTATTTTGTTACGGTTTGTCAGGTGCCAAATGTCCGTTAATTTGATCTCATTCTAATGTACTTAATGTACTTAATAGCGCACCGTTAAACATCCTAAAATGCTTCCCTTTGAAGTTATGGGAGAAAATGTGATTTTTTTTATCTGCAAAGCCAAAAAATCACATTTTCTCCCATAACTTCAAAGGGAAGCATTTTAGGATGTTTTGTTGTTCATAACTCATATATAAATGTGCTAGTTGCGGTTATTTTGCACCCTTCAAAAAGTCACTAGCACATTCCTATCAAAATTTTAGAAAAATCAGTAAATATTAAAAACGAAAAATGTGCCTAAATTTGTTGTTTGGCTTTGAGGTCCAATAGATCAGAAGGTGAATGAGTAAAAACATTTTGAGGGCATCAAAAACTGCGCCAGAATTCAGAGAACAATTTGATGTCAAGCATCAAATAATCCGATCTTCCCTGACTGACTTTTTGTTAAAATAAGCCTGAAAAGGATAATTTTAGCTTTTTGACTTTAAAAATTCATAACACACCAGCCTTTTTAGATACAATATCAAGATTTTACACACACCTTGACATAGATGTGAATAAACGGCGAGCAAAATTTCAACCCGATACCGCAAGAAATGATTAACTTATAGCGTCTCAACCACAAAATAATTTTTTCCGAAAATTGCACTCTTAACCAGGAAATGCTCGATTACAAAAATAGGTATTCTCAAAATAATTTTTTTTGGTGTGGAAACGGTGCGCTAGAAGGTCACTGAACTGCCTATGAGGTCATTTGGTCTGGACAAATTTGGGGTATGCCCCCTTAACGCCTGTTTGACTCAATTGAATTGATTGGTTTTTATGCACAATTTCAGTGGTAACAGTATTGAGGATTCATTGCGTACTGTTTATTATTGCTTACTGTTGATTTTACAATTTGGATTTGTGATGTGTTGATAACCGATCAGCAAGCTTCGCTAAGATCAGAAATCTTTCTTACCTGAATTTGTCAAAAATAATTTCCGTGTTTCCACTTCCCCGATTTAAGCTTGAAGCTGTTGTGTCAATACTGGGAATATGACGGCGTCGTATTTAAAACTAAGTTTGAATATATTTCCGATTAAAGCATGTCAAACATTGTACATATATCTAATTATATACCGCAGATATGACAGATTATTGTCTCTTATATGATTACCAGTTTCGCAGCATTTAACGATAAACTCCCATGTCAAGAAAGTCAGTGTCGTTTAAAGAGGTAATGGATCCCTCAGGGTGATTTGACATAAACACCCTGTCTTACTTCGATCCCGGGATCAGCGTCAATATAAAAGGAATGATGTTGCATAAGGTTTCAAGTTAAAACAACGCGTTTAACAATTTAATCGAGGCAATATCAAGTTCATTGTAATCAGATCTGTCAACTGAAAAACATGTATTTGTATTAAATCCAGTGGGGTTCCACTTATTTTAGGGGCAATATCATTTAATACACAAGTTTATTATCATTAATAAAACCTTGAAATCCACAATAAATGTCAATGATTATGATCCAGGCAACAAGTAAATGAGGGGAGGTTACTGGTCTGTTACGTACATTCTCTTAAATGAACTACCCAATTTAGAGTTGGACATAAGCCATAAACTGGGAAACTTTCTCGTTGATAATCTTAGTTTATGCAGCTACCAAAACTATGAGGTAATAAAAACGGAAATCTTGGACGTCTAAAGGCTTAAAAGTTTAAGGGAAATTATTACTGTTCAAATAAACCAGACACCTTAGTAACTTATAAGTAGACACTTTAGAGTCACAATCCTAAATTGTCGTTGTTCTTTGCAGCCTAATCAAAATCTTTATTCACATATACACAGAATCAGTTCCTAATCTCATCTGGCAGCATTCTAACGAGGTCGTCTCTGCTCCTCTACTTCACGACTCACGTGCAACGAACTCAGTGCAATATCACGTGCTGCTGATAGGTCACACAGATTGGTCGATCGTCGTCACGTAACTGACGCGAAGCTCCATGGTTGGCTAAGGAGCATGCAACAATTCCGCCGTGTGAGTGGTTGGTTATCGTGGGGAGGAGGACTTCAGATAACGGAATTTGAGTATTGATGTCCCTCTTCTTCCACTTGCATCTTGTCTCGCTTCATCTTGGCACGCTTGTTCTGAATAGATTGGTTTGTCGTTAATAATATAATTATAAACCATCATTTTTGACGGTGAGGTGAAACAGTCATTTAACAAGTTTCCTACAGACCAGTACGAGTATCAAAGACCATATTTTGTAAAAATTAAAAATTTGTTCGCGTTTTACCTGGAACCAAACTCTGATCTGAGTTGCTGAAAGCTGGATCTGTTCGGCTAGCTCCTCCCGCTCTAAACTTGACAGTCTTGGCTGGAAAAATTTACTATAAGTGCTTTTCAAGGTAAAACACTGAAGCATAGCAATCAAGCATCACTATAGCGATTACTTTGAAGAGGCAGATATATTTTATAAAACTACGGATATACGGTAATGCTTACACCCCTTATTATTATAGCTACTATAAACCTGATCTTGCTATAGTACTATTACTACTATTAGTAGTCTTACCTGAGACCTGAAGCGGTTCTCAAGCAACTGAAGCTGATCGTTCGTAAACACAGTCCTAGCTTTCCTTTCTTTCCGGTGTCTCCTCAGCGGACCAATAGGAATCGTAGCTGAAATTATCACGTGATCAAAATTCGCGTTTATGTTAATAGGACACGCTAAAGACAGTCTGTCTTTGAGTTTGAGAGGATAATGTTTAGTGATTGGTCTTGAGTTAACCAGCTGATCAGTAATCACGGTTATAACAGATGATTAGGAATAGTTAATATTATGTTTTCAGCGCTAACCCTGTCTCACTGTCACTTGTTTCAAATGCGGATATAATGACACTGAACTTCATGACAAGTGTAGTGTGTGTCCCAAGTATCCCAAAAATGCCAAGAATGTAGAGTGATGAGCTGATGACCTAAGTATAAGGTTTACAGATGGGGTAAAGTTCACACATGGCCGATAAAGAGGAAGATAATGGGTCTTGCTGGAGACAAATGTACTCCCCACAAAGTCAAGAGTGTCACCAAATCTGACATTAACAGGACACTCAACTGTTGTTTAATTGGCAATCATTGTCTTGTTTTGCCCGTTAATGGAAAATTAGACAGAGTTGCGAGGTGTAACAGTTAAGATTAACGTAGACACTAGGAAATATCATGACTAGGACGAGAGAGGGGTGAGAGGAGTTATTGTAACAGGTTGTGATAATATTAATTCAGGAATTATGAGAATTTGATGTGACTATTAAAATTGAAAACTTTATGGGCAATGGGTATGGTGTGCTATGTCGACCGATACCAGTCCTCATTGCAGTTCGACTGAGGATTTACTAGAGACCTTTCTTGAAGTGGATCTAACTCCCTCAATCAAAAACTGGTTCATCAGAGCGGCATAAAGAACGCAATTAGATTTAGAAGGTTTGAGTGTGTAGTATCTGTGATACAGTCCCTGACAGCGTCCTCCGTTGGAAACCATTGCTAAGCAATGTACATGTGCTCGTAATTCGTATACAAAGGCTCACAACCCTTTCATCTTCAATATAAATCGTTATTCTTGTCTATCCGACAAGAAAATCTTAGGAAACCGCCCGTCTATCAAATCATTGTAAATCCCTCACTTTTAGGCCCCTTTACTATGTAAATAAATCTCTTGTGAGTAATTTAGTAATTTAATTCAAGTACTACCTTGACCGCTCCCCTCATCGTTATCAAAGGCCCGACAAAATAAGAGGTACCTCAGAGGATACTGGATAGAGAAGTGGGTCTTGGATTCAGTGAAAATATGAGGATAACGTTCAATAGAGGGTGTGGATCGTGGAAATAAAATATGAAAAATTTTCGGTGGCTGTAGAAAAGTTTAGATTAAGGAAATAAAACTAGCCCAAAATTACTGTCACTAATAACTACTAAGATCATTACTTTTCCTAGCATTTAGTCAAATCATTATTTTGATTGAACTCTAAGTTTTGAGTTTTGGAACTCGTCTAGTCCATAAGAATAGCTTGAGTCAAACTTTAACTAGTGCTCAACTTGTAATAGTATTGGTGTACCAACATACAGAGATTATCAAATATTTTCATGCTGATGAAACGAGACAGTTCCATTGTACCAATCCACTCTACTTGATCATGAGTATGTGTAGCTAGCGTTGACGTTTGCAATTAATCACAAAGTTTAGGTTGGTCAGCTATCCCACAATCCATCAACTGTAATCAAGTTATAAGTAGAACATAAAGTCTATTTGCCAGAGTCCAGCTGACAACAATTCGGCGATTGATTTGCTGACCTTCCTGCAAGCTCACTATGGAGGGGTGGCAGATTGGGGTCTTCAACACTGAACAGTGTTTAATCTGATGAATACTGGGCACAACCTTAAGACTTGATTGACAAAATTCTGACCGCCCTGTGAAGCTTCAGAGCCATGAAATTCTGTTAAGATTGGAGGACGAATGTAAATGGCTGCTGGAGATTATGAGACGGTGGTAGAGATTAAACCAAAGCTCCGGTACTGATAAGCCCTGAATAATTTATTTGATGATACCCGTCTTGTAAAACCAAAAATGGATGCCTTGAGACCGACTTCGAATTAACTTCTCGGCTCTAGTTATCTCGGGTACTACAAACGTGTTAGTCTGATGTATTGGTCTATCCTCTTTAGACTATGTTCAACGAGTAGACTTGAGTTCAACCCCTCAGTACTCTAGCACGTAACTGCAGGTCTACTACCACTTTGTTCAAGTCAGATCACAGGTCTATCTCAATCCGTAGAACGTAATTTCTAATTTTAGAGTCTTACACATGATATGACGGTATACTGCACGTGACAAGAAAGTACTATTCTTCTTTTAACTGTCCGTTTTACAACGCCTTTATCCCGGTATCCCGCCTCGCTATCCCTACTACTATTTAGCAATGATGACAGGTCAGTCCAGGCTTTTACCCCCACGCAACAAATGTCCAGCTCCCAGGTGAAGTGAGTGGAAGTTCTGAAGAAGAAGTGTCAGCTAGCAGCGAGGGAACATGATCTCACGGGGAAAAGCAAGCCTCCAAGGCTGACTGATATTAAATTAGGAGGGACTACTAGACAAGCTTATAATTAGCTTGAACCTCTCATAATTAAATGAGATCGTTTTCAGAAGCACTCGGTAGATCGATAGCCCTGTGTACTTTGTAGGTAAACAATTAGGGCCCGGACAGATCTCAATAAGTGTTACAAGTTTTAATTTGGCGCGGCTACCCTCATTGAGAATTGTTACATAGGCTAGCCACCCCTCGTCGGCCGTTAAGCTCCATAGGTCACAGGAATGTTTATTAAATTCTTAACTGAATTGATAATGCGGGTTGCCTGACAAATTTTTCGATTTATCGTTCAACTTGGTAAAAAGTTAAGTACACGCAATATTATACCCAGTGTATCTTAAGGTTCCCTCTCAGTGACCCAGGAACCATGTCAGAGGAACTTATCGAGGGAGTGCAGGAGGAGACACAATGGGCTATTCATTGGGAGACAGGCTTCGAGCGTGGCCCGTTGGTTGGGTTAAACCCTAAATCCCACCGTTCAGCCTTGAGAGACTATTTAAACACATTTAGTAGGTAACGGTGATTTTTAGAAGCAATTAAACGGGGTGCAGTACAACTCAAATCCGCCCTATCGATTATGCAGTCACGTTACCAGTGTCAGACATTGAATTAGTACAGGAGTCTAGAAAATAACAATTTGAGGATTATTTTGTGTCCTAGAACTCATTCATATTACATCCATCTCTTGGAATCTTAAAATATGGCATTATTGAACTTTTAAAACCCAGGATAATAACAATTTGTGTCAGACCACAAAATTTTATTGTAACTGTTAGGGTAAATGTAATAAAAGTGCAACGTAATGAAGCAAATCTTGCAACATTGGACGGTCATCCTGGTCTGGGTTGATCCTGTCTATTTATAGAGACTTCTTTTGGTCTTTAGTCTTAAGTCTAACCTTACGGTTTAATGTAACTAAATATTGATCTGGGAAAACAAAGCCCAATTCCCTTAGTCTTAATGTAACTAATCTTAGATCTCGAATTACGTTGATCGCTCGATCTTTATGGATTAGGATTTCTTTAAGGAAATATTGGGAGCTTTTTGTTGGTGGAATGTAAAGTCAGAACTCACGAATACTACAAGAAGTAGTTGCCAGAGGAGAGCTGTGACAAATTGTTATTGCTGTCTATTTGTCAGACTGGCGTACGATAGGAGCACTTTAAGTTTAACGGACCACAACTTCTTGTTAACCGTCAATTCGTGAGGAAGGGTGAGTTCACTGGAAACTTGTTAATGAACAGACCAGGATATTGCTAGTGAGCTATAAGCCAGCAGATAGTTCGAGGTTAGGTGTGAAATTAAGACCAGGAGGATAATTAAGAAAACTTTATATTGTGAGTAGGTTGGTCAAATGGCTGAGAATGATAGACATTTCAATGAGATCAGTCTGGCGAACAGATTTGGGAAGATACAAAAAGTAGACGATCAACTCCACCCACTTACCTTCATATTCTAGACCGAGCCTTAGGGCCGTTACTTCATCCAGCACATCTGCCGTTGCTACGATCTTGTCGTAGTCATCCTCCGATACAAAAGCTGCTCCAAACGAGCTATTCCTGTTACCGTCATATCTCTTAGCTATGTGAACCACAGGCACTTTATGGTGTCTGCTCTGCTCAACCTGAATAATTTGCACCACTGTTTAGAAATTTGTGAAAATATCTCTCTCACGTCTCTATAATAAAATAAGGAATGGGAACTCATTACACTTTCTTATAAAACGGGTAGAAAGAGCGCCCTACAGTAGTCTACCAGAACTCTACCAAGACTCTACCATCACACTGTGGACACTGGACCGGTCTCATTCCTGGCAACTAGCCAGGTAAGCCGGACGAATGATCAGCAAGCATTTTATCCTAGACCAACCTGCGGCATTCCTAAAATATCCTGGACACCAAAGGGGGTGGGTGATTTAGAGCAATGAGTCCCAATACTGTGTGCTTGCATGTTGTTCATGTACTCGGAATTGAAGACGTCCGACATTGGGGCCTGCAAAGGGGTGTCTGTCAATATTCAACTGTAATTACTGCCCTACCTTCTTGTAAGAAACACAAAGTTACAAAACCATGGTAATACTAATCTTGATAATTCTATTCTGCCGAAGCAAATTTTAGAATAATAAAAGGTCTCTATGTGAAGAGTAATCTCGGTCGATTGTTCGCCATTTCAGAAACATTGATCAAGTCTGGATGATAGCTAGCTAGAACTGAACTAGAAACTCAAGTTTAAAGAAATACATCATCATGATTATATATTGTAAAACGCGGTTTAATACAACGCTATTACCGTGTTTGCATTCTTTTAACTTTTTAACAAAATTTAGATATTTTGACAATTCATTTTGTTGGCTACAATCGAATCAATTTTATTCAATCATACCATAATAAATCTTTACAAAACCTTATCAAAGTGTAAAGTGCGTTCCAGATACATTTTTCTTTGCATTCTTACTACTGCTAAACTATTTTCAAAGGGAAAATTGCAGAATTTTGTGGCCAATTATGAAGCAGCCCAAAATAAATATATTACAAAGATCTCCCTATATCTGAAATACCATGAATCTGTTGTATAAATCAAAACACCTGGTAAACCTTGTCACAATTAGCATACCCAGTACACTCAAAAGAAAACTGACCTGCATGATGGAGCAAGAGGAATGTGAGGGTGCAGGGGAGGATAGGGGGTGCAAGGGGGCAGAACCCCCAAACATTCCCGAACTGAGGTGTCCCGCATTGTGAGCGTTGTAGTACACGTCCATCATTTATATAGCATTCATCTGAGAAGAAGTAATGTTGTAACAGCTCATTTGTTGATTTTAGGATTATGGGATAAAACATCAACGACGGTCTACATTATCTAACATATTACTAAAAGTATTTTTACAAAAATCAATGATCCCTCCTGGTACACGTGACTGTACCGACAAAAAGGGGAGCCAAACTCAATTTGGGGGTCCTAAAAACGAGTCTAGACCTAACATCAATAGTCCAAGTGTCAAAGATCTACAACTGAATAGGACACGTGGCTACGTCCCGATCAGAGATTGGCAGCTGAGTCACAAAGTTTGAACAGCTTCTTCAAGGACACGGGTTTTGTTTACTTAAACTGGGATAGACAGCCATATCCGGGTTTTATTCTGGGTTTATGTCGAATAGTGGCGGATCACCCCACAGCTTCTACAAAGTCAGAGGGACAACTAGAAGTAGAACTTTGTATTTAAATGTTCGGAAGGGGGAAGAATTGTAAGATCTCAGTATCAGAGTGCCAGAAAACAAAAGACAGAGTGCTCTTTAAAGGATACCAGTCGTATGGATGGCTGTCATGAGCGAACTCTTGCTCTCATTCGACTCTTGATCAAGAATCCCACCGGTTCAATTTGTCGAATCCTTGATCCAATAGCAATAAAGTTTCACAATAGTAAAGTGTCACGTGCACCACTGCTGTGTTCCTATTGGCTGGGATGAGAGGCAGGGCTGCCATTGGTTTGAAATCTTGAGAACGGGAGCAGTTTTGAGGCAATAATCCTTACAATTGCTGGGCGCCTGTCAACCGTCCACTTCAATGAAATGGACAAAACCACCCACAATCACGCTCTGGTGAGCCGGATGGCAGCTTTATAAACAGAATAAAAGGGCTGAACATAAATTTCAAAGGGCGCATTTATTATCCAATATATTCAGTAATACCAACAGCCTTAGTACGATATTTATCATGAGATAAAGGAGATAATGCTTTCAGAAAACCGTTGAAATATGCACGTGACAGGTATACAGGACGTGATGCATGGTGGATAAAACAATATCCGATTCTTTTTATCAGGCCTGACAAAGATGGCGAATGAATAGGCTCAATCAGCAAGGTGACATCTGCCACTGAACGGCTGTAGAATATTCTGTTGTAGAAATGAGCCTATTTCTCAGTATTTCTACTAACTTAATCCCCACTCAGTAAAGTGTAAGTTCTCTAAAGTGTAAGTTATTTAAGTATAATAGTAGATAATTATTAAGAAACATTTACACCATTAAAATATTCAAGACCCCTAAAAGAAATCAAGTCATCCTAAAATGGTGATCAGTACAGATCAAGACAGCTAGAGTTAAAATTTGTTTCTCCAAGCAACTCTATCATCGGCTAATATCTTAAGCTTATTAAGATTATTCAAAGAGTTAAGTTTTAAACCTCTACGGGTCAAATCATTCACAATAATCTTGAACAAAGATAAGTTGATGATAATGTAAAATATGTTCTACACAATGCCAAAAGTTAACAAAATAGACAAGAAACTGAATTGCCGTTATAGATTACTTGAAAAATTACTTGGAAAATAGAGCATTGAATGTCATACTCATAAATGCCCATAATTTTCTTAATAATGATCATTCTTTGAAATGTTTAAACATCAAAAGTTGAGACAACTTTAAAATATAAAATGAAGTGACATAAAATTGATTGACAAGTTTTAAACCTTTTAAGCTTTTATACGATCGATGCAACAGTATCATATCAAGCCTTAACTCCTAATAAAGTTAACACAGAGGAAAATCACTTACCAGGAAAATTCATAAATCACATAATGCAACTTTTTAAAATTCCAAGAAAAAAGAAATATAAATTTCCATTCCCAATGATAGGGTGTCCTAAAGTGCAAACAAACGAATTCTAAATGCGATGAAAAAAGTAAATACAAGCGGTACAGATAGCTGGATGCGAAGATAGATCACAGTACAGAGGCACTAGGCGCCAAGCGATCCCAATCGATTAGATTGCTGAGTACCACGAACATATTACATAACTAAAGACCTAACCACAAGGTAATAGGAAGAAGTGCCGGCAAAAACCATTGATTGGACGGAGGGAATTAGCAATAAGTAGGATGGAGGACATTGAGATCCTGCTTGTTAATTGAACCATGTCAAGCAGCAACATACACCAGCAAGGAGCTAGTCAGGCTGATTATGAGATGTCAGAATGTGGGTATAATCAACGTGTGTTGAGGGAGTAAGAAGCAACTGGGAGGGCGGATTGGAAATCTACTTCAAATTATTAGGGCAGACCTGTACGGTAGTCACTGAACCTACTCGACTGTAGACCAGGGTTAGAGTCCACTATCATCTGCTCATTGAAACAAGGAAATAGGATTTTATACGATCAGTAAATCAGATCACGATTGTTACTGTTAGTGATATTTGCTGACTGGTGAGGACTGAAAGAGTATCGAAAGTGGTACATCAGTACTGATTTGAGGAGATGAGGCCAGTGGAACAGATCAAATGTGAAGTGGGTGGCTAATGACGGGATTGGGGAAAGGTAAACAAAGTAACGCTGTCACCAGACAGACCAGAAGAGATGTCAAACTTTCAAAAAGTATCAGACTAAACTTATTTCACGGTAATTTAATTAACCTGTGGTAGGTTCAGGTCATCACAAAGGTAGGGGAGAAGAGAGCACATCGTCGCGACGCGTCCAACGTTGGGGTCTCGCTCTCACATGAGCTGACATGGTCACGTGATAACGCGCGCGTCACGTGGCCCACGTGTCCTATGTCACGTGATAATCAGGATCATGTTTATATGTTAAGGTTGTGATTCATGTGATGTCATGGTGACGTCACGTGGATACTAGGTAAGCAAGTCAGGTGATCCAGAAATGTGCAAACCAAACGCGGTCCTGGCAGAAAGTATCAGTTTCAGTAAACCAGTCTGACGACTGAAGTTTCCTCAATTTCTGATGGCTAGTCAAGTTGGGGCAGAATACAAATCGTTACATACTTGACTCAAACTCTTAGCCGAACAATACGTAACTATTTTGATGATTCATCAAAAGTATATCTTTGATAAGTTCGATTCGATCACCAATAAAATGTAAGAAATGATCAGTGAACAGTAAAAATACCTTCCAATAAAGCTTTATTAATTTATAGGTACTGCCAGTACCTAACGATGGCCCATCAGGGAGATTGAAGAAGCACAGAGTTCAAGATTTTAGGAATCAAATGTCTCTGAACTAAGAATTTTAAGGAACTCACGAGTCAAAGGATCTGGTGATATCTAACAGCACGGCATACACATAAAGTATAAACCTGGTAGATATTATACCAAAACAAATCAGTATTCGAGACTATCGCAATTTATACTGTTTGTACTATAATATATACACGAGAACTAAAGTCTAGTGATTAAACTGCATTGGAGTTATTTTGTATAGTGAAGCAATCAACATTATAGCCGTGACAATCAGAAGCAAACGAGGTACCAGTGATTCCATTACAGTAGTGCCTCTAGGAGCACAGATCTTCCCACACCGCTTTAGGGACAGGCAAACTTGAATTCTGTTATCAAGCCTTCGTCCAATAACAGTGGGCACTATTATATTCCTAAGAACTAAAACAGTATTTTACTGTGGTATAAACAACGTAATAAAGCGCAACGTCATACCTTCGATCCAGGAAATAAAAACAGGCTCTGAGAATTCTCAAATTAAATAGTTCTCAAATCACAGCAGCTGATGGCAGCAAGGTGGGCCGGCAATAATCAGTGGAGGATGGGAAAAACAAACTTCCGCTTGTGAATTGTGGAACAAAGAATAAGATATGTATAGTTTTCTTATTCAATAATTCAATAGACATTACTTTCAACTAATCAGCTCATAGGTTGTCATTTCCTGCAACTGTATCGTCATACAAGACCGTAATTTCATGTGGAAATTATGTAAAAATATTGAAGGTTACTATGGACGAATTTGGAAATTTTGAAGTTCAAATTTCGAGCAAAACTTGTTTATTATATAGCTGCTGTTGCCATAAATCCATGAAAAAGAACATTAGTGTTCACGGCGCTGCTTAAGGAATATTCTTAAAAGAAGACTTTTATCAGTGCGATTATTAGATTGTATTGTTTGCACTGTTAATAGTGTGTATACAACCGATATACAATAGATTCGGTAACATTAATACTTAATAGTTCATCACATTTCCTTGTTACTTTCGTTTTAATATGTTCCAACAGTATTTGTTGTCTGAAAGTTTTGTTATTTTTCTTCATGGAAGCATTTAGCTAATTCTTTAAAACTGATTTAGGCGTTAAGTTTTGACCTTTTTGCAAAAACATTTTCACAATTTTATCATCTGAATCAGTCAAATACTGACTAAGAATGTTAGTGTTACATATAAAAGTCAACAGACAACATGAAAGAAATTAAGATCACTTGATGCGATTGTTTAGAATCTTTTAATTTTAGTGTTGTGTTCATACTTTAATACCAGTTTGTTATGGATTGAACAAGTTTGCTATCCTCTACTGCCATAAAAAACATTTTCAAATCGCAGCAAAGGAAAAAGGAAAAGCTTCAGTGTGGGATGTAAACGACATCTAATGTCCCGGACTTAGATCATGTCCACCTACCAAAACAACTATTACACAGACGAAGATACGGAAGAGCCGGAGTATGTAACTCCTGACGTCTCAAAACAAGCCAGAGGTGAATAACGAACTTGTTAGCCGACAACTTTATAGTATAACTTTAACAACAAATATATGGTAACTAACAATCTAGTTCAAGTTAGCATTTTGATGATTAAGGTTGTAAATAACAGAAAGAAAAAATAAATGACTAACAGTTTGGCAGTTTAGCTAAATTATTGTCGTAAAAGTAAGAGGTCGATAGAGAGGGATCTATGAGTCGATAGAGAAGGATCTATGAGTGAACCCATGAAACAGTGCAATAAAAATAGACGAGCACCGCTGCAACACGTGTCATCCTGAATCAGTCTGACATTTAAT